TCACCACTGTTAAGACAACTGATCAGAGAATTAGAGACCTGGAACGAGAGACCCATCTCCTGGATCGGTAGGATCCATTCCGTTAAAATGAATATCCTACCCAGGATATTATTTTACTTCCAAACGATCCCCATACATATATCTAAAACACTTCTTGCACCCCTACAACAAGCGATAGGGAATTTCGTTTGGCAAAATAAACGACATAGAGTATCGAGACATATCTTACATAGGCCAAAGACAAGGGGAGGCTTGGGTTTACCCAATATTTACGGATATTACATAGCGACACAACTATCGCAGATAGCAATGTGGAACTCACCCCCGAACAAGCGGAAATGAGTAGACTTGGAGTCATTGATGGTGGGGGCAGATATGCCGCAGCTCCTCATCTGGGTTCCAAAAAATAATAGACCCCTGATAAGGGTCACATCCCCAACTATTTTCAACTCTATACAGATATGGGACAAATCAAGCAGGCAATACGGGTTGGCATCGGACCCATCCCCCTTAATGACTTACCTCCGCAATAGGGCCTTTCCCCCAAGGATGGCAGCTAAGAACTTCAGAAATCTGGAAAACATAGGACTCCAACGCATATGCCAGATAGTGCAAGGAACAGAAGTAGTCTCGTTTGATGTCCTGCAGCAAAGGGGGCATCTCACTCCAGCAGATTTTTTCAGATACCTTCAAATAAAAGATTTTGTAAGATCTACTCAGATTCGGACGACTGCCCAGAAACCCCTAACTTTTTTTGAACAGATGTGTTTACAGGAGAATATACCAAGAGGCTTGATTACGACACTATACGCACTCATATGTGCAGAAGCTAAAGGAGGGGGAGGTTTGACCTATATAGAACAATGGGAGAGGGACCTAGGTGTAGAGTTGGAAGGGATAGAGTGGCAGGAGATTTGGGAGGCCAACCACACGGCTTCTATTTGTGTTAAATTACAAGAACAAGCAGTTAAAACAATGTTTAGATGGTACACGACCCCAGTCACATTATACCAAATGACACAGACTCCAACAGATGTATGCTGGAGAGGATGCGGAATAAAGGGAACATACCTCCATATGTGGTGGGAATGCCCACAGATAGCACGCTTCTGGCGGACAGTTAGAGGTATAATAACCCAGGTACTAAACAGAGCCCCTCCACTGGACCCATGGGTGTATCTTTTGAGTAGAATTATAGATGGGTGGACTAGGCAAGAACAGCCGCTAGAATAGCAATGGCATCCGATTGGATCAAACCTACAACACCGCCCATAGCAAGAGTCCTCAATAGGATAAGGGAAGTCCACCTTATGGACGACCTCACAGCCAGAGTAAGGGGAACCCAAAAAACATTTACAAAAATTTGGGCACCATGGGAGGGTAGCCCACTTAGCTGAGGAGAGACAGCCCCCCCCCTACACTATTCTCCACGAATCAGCATAAAATAACTTTTGCTAAAAACGGCCTTAGACAACTGCCACCACTCGATTCCTTTCTTCCTTTTCTTTTCTTTCTCTTCTCCTTTCTTTCCCATTCACCTATCTAATAACATTACTACCATGCTTCTTGCGCTTAATAGAGTTACAGGGAGGAGATTAGGACATACTGGATTAGGAGCATGTATTAGAGTGTCACACGAACCAGTATACAACTAGACCAAACCAACAGACTGCTCCTCCTTGGATGGCTTGATAAGAAGCAATGGTTTAACTCTTAGATAACATAAAAAGAAGACAAGAGGTACACTGCGAAAGTAAATAACACATGCAGAGATGTTACCCCTGAATGAACAAATCAGTCAAAAACACTTAAACAAATATCAAGGGGTTGTTACAGAACAAAAGGGAGAGCATATGTTACTGTTCTTCATGCTTTTCAATGCGAAAAATGTGTTTATTTGTTACTTTGTCATAAACTAGTAACCTCTGTCAATAATAACTAAAGTTTTTAAATAAAAAAAAATCCTCGGTGGGAGGCAAGGCACATTGGGATTAAAAAGAGGCTTGTATTGTAAGCTCATATTACATATTGTTTTTCCAAGAAGTTTTTCTCAAATATTGGCTTCTGCGCAAGCCCGAAAGTTTGAGCTGTACTTGCTGTACCTATCGAATGAAAAATAAAGAATTTAAAAAAAAGAAAGAAAGAAAAATATGAACTGCTCACAAAGTCTCTATTGGAATGTCACTGAAATTCCAATATAGTAAAAAAGATAACATAAGAAAAAAATAGGGACTATCTGTATTGTGGTAAAGGTCTAAGTGGACAAACCGTGACAAAAGACAGAGCTACCGCTGTCACATGGTGTCGCTTTCCCCAGCTGACATTAGTGACATCTATGGGAATAAGGCATCATCATACACATTGTGAGAAAATATCTATGGAGGTTCGCCATGGTCTTGAGGAATCTTCCACAGATATCAGCGTTGTACATTTGTGCAAGAATGTAGCAATCATGTGGGCTCCGCCTCCTGGCAGATGATGTGCCAGGAGCTGAAGACCGAAGATGGCAGCACCCGTGGGGGACAGCATCAGGCAAGTATAACTCACCTATACTGCATCTTTAGCCAACAGCGGGGGTCTTTGCAAAACATTCAAAGACACAAGAAGATGACATGGCTGTTTTAAAGAAAATAGTTAGTTGCACTCCTTATTGGGGAGCCATTATGCAATAGTATGAAACCCAACCAGGGCTGGACTGAGAAAAAACTTCAGCCCAGGAATTTAAAGGCAGAGTAGCACAGTTGGAGGGGGCGAGGACAAAAAGTGGGCGTTTCATGTCATCAATAATGACATGCACGCCACCTCAGAGTGAGTATGTTAGTTGGCTGTACCTCCAGGGCATTTCATGTGCAGAGCCCTGCTGAAGAGCACTCACACTGTGTTTATTTTACACAGCACAGCTCTGCAATTACTGGTGACTTGTCTCTGGTGTCCCTACCAGAGGGATAACAGAGGACAAAAGTGGAGTGTGACCAGTAAAGGGTGTTGTGCGTGTTTGGGGAGGCTGTCTGTGGCACTGTATGTGCTTGGAGATTGAGGTTGAGATTGCATGTGCATAGAAGTTACTGTGTGTTGTGTGTGTGTTTGTGTGTGTGTGTGTGCATGTAAAGGAGCCTGGTGTACTATGTGTGGCTAGGGACTGTAGTGTGTATATGTTTCCACTAGATGTAAAGTGTGTGCGTCTAGGATCTGTAGAGACTGTGTGTGTCTAGCAGTTGAGAGAGAGAGAAAGCATGTGTGTATTTGTAGTACTTCTAGAGGGTGTAATGCGCATGTATGTGTATTGGGACTGTGTGTGTGGGGGGTTGTATCTAGGGGCTGTAGCATGTTACAGGGGCTGTAATGTGTGTTTTTATGTATAGGGGTTGTAGTTTGTGTTCCAGGGCAGTTTGTGTTTCTATATGGGCTGTAGTGTGTGAGTCTAGGGGCTATAGAGAGTGTTTGTGAGTCTAGAGGGTGTATGTGATTGTCTATGTGGTGTAGTGTGTGTCTAAAGGGTGTGTGTGCATCTAGGGGCGGTAGTGTGCGTATAAGTGTATCTAATGAGGAATCAGGGTATGGGGAGGGAAAGCTGTTCACAGTTTAATTGATATGCTTTCCTAAAGAAGTAAGTTTTCAAAGATTTTATGAAGGAGTGGAGATTGGGTGAAAGTCTAACAGAGAGGGGAAGGGTATTCCATAGGAACGGTGCAGCCCTAGAGAAGTCTTTAAGGTGAGCATCAGAAGTAGGAGTATGAACAAAGGTTAGTCATAGGTCTCCGGCAGGGCGTAGGGGCCTAGATGGGACATATTTGTGTAATAGTGAGGATAAGTAGGTCAGAGCAGCATTGTGTAGAGATTTGTAAGCAAGTCACAGGATCTTAAAGGGACACTATAGTCACCAGAACAACTACAGCTTAATGTAGCTGTTCTGGTGGGTATAATAGTTCCCTTCAGGTTTTTTTCATGCAAACACTGCCTTTTTCAGAGAAAACATTGGATTGGTTAAAAATTGGCCATTTTGCGACATGGGTGAGGTACTCGAGGGCATCGAAAGGCAGGAGATTTGGGAAGCGAGTAACACCACCTCCGTATGGTGACCCTACAGGAGTATTCCTTTAAAACAATGTTTAAATGGTACACAACACCTGTGAAATTATTCAGAATGCATAAAACCACTGTGGTCCTCTTCTGGACCACAATTAAACAACTGATATGGAGAGTACTCTCCAGGACCCTAGAATTAGATCCCTGGGTTTACCTGCTTAATCGCACTGTCGAGGGTTGGATAAGGGCAGAACAAAAACTCACCCTAGCAGCCAGAAAAGCAGTGGCAGCCACTTGGCTGCAACAGGACATCCCAAGGGTAACAGATGTTATAGCGAGAATTAGAGAGATCCACTTAGTGGATGAATTGACGGCTAGAGTAAAAGGCTCGCTTCAAACGTTCCTCACAATATGGGAACCCTGGGACAGCAGTGCCCTGGGGCAGTGATGAATGAGTGCCCCACCTCACAGACCGCCTAGTCCTCCCCCCCACATAGCACTAACTGGTGCTTGTCACATTTTATTGATAAACTCCAATCGGTCCCACCCTCTTTATTCTTTTTCCCCTCTTTCTGTCTTTTTCTATCTCTTTCTTTCTTGTTTCTAGACCAGTCCATGATAAGGGGCTGGTCGACATTGTTGGATATCCGATACACACGAGGGGCTGGAGATCATTATAAGTGTTATCTGTTTTTTCTGCCTAGACACAGTTGGTACTCCAACCACACAACATATGATGTTCTATGGCTTTGTGGGGATATCACTGCATACTTAGACACATGTCTGGTAATCTAACAATGTCAAAGATATTGGAAAATCCCTTGGCGATCGGCAAAATAGTACCTACTTGTGTAATATGTGAAATGTTCAGGGGCACTATATTTTGTTCCTTTTTCTAATGTGTTCTGATGTATTGCCCTAAAGAATAAATTTTTTTTTTTTTAAATTGCACATTTTGATGATGACACAAAGGGGGCAAAGCCAGCGCTGGAAATAAGGTGAGTTTTAAACTTTTATAAGGGGGCTAAGGGGAGGGGGCAAGACAACTAAATGGTGGGTTAAACACTATAGGGTCAGGAATACATGTTTGTGTTTCTGACCCTATATTGTTTCTTTAAATTGAGACCTATATCTTACGGGAAGCCAATGTAGGGACTGACAAAAGGGGGAGGTGAGGGAGGTGCGGGTGAACAGGAAGATGAGCCTTGCCGCAGCATTCATTATACACTGTAACAGGGCAAGTTGAGAACACGTAAGACCACTGAGAAGCGGACTGCAGTATTCAAGGCGAGAGAGGACAGTGGCCTGGACCAGCACCTTAGCCGCATCTGGTGTTAAATAGGGTTGGATATTGGGAATGCGTCACTACTGCTAGGCATGATGTTTATATTTATCTTTGAAATTGTATCTATTGATTTCATGGAACAGAGTTGAATTGTTGGTAGTTATCATTAGAACAGTGCATATTTCAGTTCCACCAGATCGTATAAGTAAAATGTATTATCTTGCAAAGCTGCTAAGCAGGCAATTCTAAGAGTTAAAGTTCAACTGTCAAAATGCTAAACCTCCAATAAACATAATCAAGCTTGTTTTTGAGTTTAAATTTTGTTTATGTTAGGAAAGTCTGATTAGCATTTGTAAACAGCTGAATTGTGGGAAAAGAGCTGCAAACCATGTATTTTAAATCAAGACACGGAGGCTCATATTGCATATCCCTTTCTTTACTGTCCACCAATAGCAGCAAAGAATACAAATAGAATGAAAAAAAATAATGAACATACAGTAACATAGGCCCCTCCCCGCTCAGGTCCCAGTATAATAGGCAGCACTTCCCTTCCATTCCCCTCTTTCTTTGCTGCTCCGACACAAAGATAAGTACATGTTACATCTTCTCTCTGATTACTTGTTTATTACCTACTATTGATATTATTATCGATACCCTTGTATTACACTGTATAGGTTTATCTGTTATTGATTCTTTTATTGTTTTCTATTTTATTTATTAGAGATTTTTATTAATTATTTTTTCTCTGCTTGCTTGATGCTACACACCTGTGTGTTTTTTTCTGTGTACCCAGGGTCCAGACCTCCCCTGTTATATATTTTGTTTATTACCCCTTTTCACTGTCCTTGTGACTTTCCTTGTATTTTCCTTACCTCCGTCTTGCTGTTACCTTTCCCTGTCCCTTGGCGCCCTTTTTGCGCCCGTTCTCCACTGTGTTCGGCTGTTTTCATGCACGAATTAAGCCCATTCGGCTGATTCGTCACGTACAAATGCTGTTCACTTTTTTTCTCGGCAGATAGCACCATTCGCCGGTTTGCCGCGTTCGACTAATTTTTTAGTCGCGTTCGTCTGTTTTTTCCCCTCTTCCTTATATTAGTCTATCTATTTCCACAAATTTATTTTCTACCGAACATTCAGTTCTTTAACTTAGCGAATTTTCACAATATTTTGACGCGAACCTCGTGAGATTGCCGGCGGCCATTTTCTGACTTCCTGTCTTCCTCCCTACCTTGTGTGTGCGTGTGCCACTAGTCTGGGACCTGGTGAGATCGCTTTTATTCCTATTGCTTCAGTTTTGGGTGACTAACCCATACTATTCTGATATCTAATTAGGGATTAGGTCCTTCATTCTCCATTATGCCTAAACCCAGACTACCTTCTGGATCCCCACCCTCTGGGGAGACTGATGCCCCATTTAATTTGGGTGAGACCCCTGTCACCTCGGGCACTCCTCCCACCCTGGTATACAGAACCACCCACCCTGAAGGGGCCATTCTTAGCGCTACAGCGCTCAGTAACAGACACCATTATGGCAGCCATGGGCTCCATGTCATCTACCCTCTCCCATACTATTTCTCAAGCCCTATTGCCACGTCCTTCGGACGGGCATTTTTCGGGCTCAACGACGCCTCTATCGCGTCCTGCTGTGGACCCGCCGGGAGAGGCACCCAGAAAGGCTACCCATAAGTCCAAACAACCCCACAGAGTAGGGTGTGGGGTGACAGGGTGTGGTGGGGGCTGTGACAGGGTTGGGGATGGTGGTCGGGCTAAGACAGGTGGTCATAAATACCTTGTTTTAATAAATTGATTTCCTGGTGGTTCGGTGGATTGGCTCTTTCCCTGGTACTCCGCCGGGTGCAGAGCTGCAGACCACTTGGTAAGTCTTGCGATCTCCAGTCAGAGCATTGCCGTGGTAAACCTACAGCAGCACTCTGATTGGCCGAGATCGCGAGATCCGGCAGAGCTGCAGACTGGCTCTCAGTCAGGGCAGACTGACTGGAGGGGCCTCACACTGGGCGGCATTATGGGCAAGCCACCAGGCCCCCTCCTGTTTCGGACCCTCGGTCATAGACCGAAGACCCGACATGTAATTCTGACTTATGGCGATTTAGACGGCCACCAGGCCCCAGATCGTGTGAGGCCTTAGGGGGCCGCCTAAATCACCTATTTAGAGAGCCACCTATGAGTGTAAACATTCCAGATGTTATTGCCAGCAGTCTATTTCCTGCTTGAAATAAAGTCTGAAGGAAAAACCAAAATCTGTAGGTTTTACACGCAGAATGTGTTGATTGATTAATCACTGTGTTAAAGGGACACTATAGTCACCAAAACAACTTTAGCTTAATGAAGCAGTTTTGGTGTACAGATCATGCCTCTGAAGTCTCACTGCTAAATTATCTGCCATTTATGAGTTAAATCACTTTGTTTCTGTTTATGCAGTCCTAGCCACACCTGCCCTGACTGTGACTCACACAGTCTGCATTAAAAATGGTTGAATTTTCAATAAGTTTCTAATTTGCTTTAGAAGTTTTTATCTCATGCTCTGGAAATTGAACGTTAGTCACACACAGGAGGCTTCTGCCAGGTCTAGCAAGCTATTAACAGAGCAGGAGATTTAAAAAAAATTCTTAATTAAACAGAATGTGCAATAAAGAAGGTTTAAACATTAGATGACTCTTTACAAGAAGTGTTTAGGAAGGCCGTGTAAGTCACATGCAGGGAGGTGTGAACAGGGCTGCATAAACAAACTGATTTAATTCCTAAATGGCAGAGAATTCTGCAGTGAGACTGCAGATGTTTAAATAAGTTGTTTTGGTGACTAAAGTGTCCCTTTAAGGTAAGAACATCTTTATTTGCAGCTATTCTTTGGATCCACAGATACCAACATTTGTTTTCCCTCCTGCTTCATATACATGCTTGTTAAACAATTTCTGGGACTGTATTTCATGCAAGACCCAACATTCATGCATCTATCCGGCTTAATTTCTGTTTTGCCACAATTTGCTGCAGTTTCAGTTTATTAGAATACACAGTTCAACAGAAAATATTTTAACTATTTTCTATGAAAAAATCTGGTTTACATTTATTTATCTATTTGGCTTGGAGCAAAGCTCTCTCTGCTATTTACATTTCAATTTCAACGTCAGCGCAGATGAAATGTGGCCAGAAAAGTCAAAGGAGAATTCATGAAAGCTCTATTAAGGCTTTAGTGAACAAATGTTTGTCTACCAGCCGAATTAAAGTTACAGTGCTCTAACTGGCATCTTAGCCATTAGTGAGTAATCTACAATTCTACAACAAAATTAGACTGTATTATACTATACTATATATATTGCATGGCAATTTTTTTTAACAGCTTTTTCAACCTTGACTTTTTAAGTAGTACATTTATGATATAACTTTTGGCAGCACTATGCAGGTTGCTATAACAACCATGGAGTTATTTTAACTTAGTGAAACTGAGCTTGCTTGTCATACCACTCTGATTGGTTTGTTAACAAGACAACCAATCGGAGGGCCCGGCTTTAATTGCATAGCGTGGGAAAGCACTTATAAGGCTGTGTCCTGTTCTGGTATCTCAGTCTGCGTGGAGCCCTTAACGGGCCAGCTTGGATGTATTTGTAATTGTTGTGGGCGTTTTTTTTTTAAATTTAGTAGTTGCGATGAACCTTTAATGGTTGTTTTTTTACCTTTTTCGGGGCTGAAGAAAATAAGCTTTAAAAAGAAAGAAGACATTTGATATTAAGTATGATTTTGTTTCTTAACAGGAAATTCATTTTTGCCCCCCCTTTCACATACTATTATGGTGAGGGGGTAGGCAGATATTATTCATTGGTGGGTGGCTAGCTGCTTGAAGATCCTTTACAACCTAAGGGTAGGGTGAATTTTAAAAGAAAGTGATTCATAGACATTAGAGTTTGTAACTAATTTGAATAGATCATTTAGGATATACATGGAATATGTGAAACATTTTAGAATATAATGGTGCCAAGAGAGAGAGAGAAGCTATTGCCATTGACCAGAAGCTTGGCAATGATGACAATACTAAGCATCATTAATCAATACTAAGCAATACTAAGCAATCATTACTTTTAAAGCAACCTTCTAAGTGACTCATCAATATTAATTGTTAAGTTGTCACAAATATATGCAGGGTTATTCAGTAAAGTGAGAATTCAAAGTGATTTTTCAAATTTACGGCAAGAGTAGTGAAACTAAAGGCATAGCTGACAAAGATTTTTTGCAGTTTGTCTATTTTGACCTTAAAGGGACACTATAGTCACCAAAACAACTACAGCTTAATGTAGTTGTTCTGGTGAGTACCAGTGCCATCTTTAATGTTGATTGGACCCTGGGCAAGCATTAGCTTGGGCTCCCTGGTCTCCTCCCGCCCACCTTCTAGCATGCAAACACGCCTTCCACCCAAAGACACACATAAAGAAAACACAAAAAAACACACACACATAGATCGTAGACTTAGCCACACTTATTTTTCACCTAGAGAAAATACACACACTGACACACATACAGATGCAAACACTGACACAAATGCAGATACACACATACACAGGCTCAGACATACACAGGTACATACATCCAAATACACAGACACCCAGGTGCATACACAGATACACTCACTGACAAACATGCAGACACACACTAACACACACAAACAGACACAGAGATACACATACAGAAACACAGCAGGTACACAGACACACTTAATGACAAACATTAAGATACACAGGATGACACTCATATAGATCCAAACATTGACACACACAGATACGGAGGGGCACACACTGACACACATACAGACACACAGATACATATACACATACAGACAGAAACACAGACAAATACGTATACAGAAAGAGACACCTACAGACACACAGATACACAAATAGACCGATACACACAGATACAGACACACATGCATATACACATACTGACACATGCATATACACATTCAGACACACAGATACACACACAGGTAAACAGACACATGCATATACACATACAAAGAGACACACACACAGAAACACATACTGTCAGATACACACATAGACTGATACACATGCAGACAGATATACACACACAATAAAATAATAGAGGTCCAGGCACTCCTTGGTTCAAGACAGGTACTTTATTAAGAACCACAACAGCAACGTTTCAACCCCAAAAGGTCTTTGTCAAGCTTGACAAAGCCCTTTTGGGGTCGAAACATTGCTGTTGTGGTTCTTAATAAAGTACCTGTCTTGAACCAAGGAGTGTCTGGACCTCTATTATTTTATACATTTTTGGAAATCTGGTGTTTGATTCCGGTTCAGCAAGCACCCTGGCTCAGATTTATGGGAGTGAGTTCAGTTCCACACACACTAATAAAGATATACACACACAAACAGATACATGGAAAATATACAATTTCACTGTTTCCTGTTTCCTACCTTTTGGGTGCAGAAGGGTGACTTCCCCGGGGTGCAGTGGCTGTCTGAGGCTGTTGGGAGTTGGGCTCTCTCCCAGTCCGCTCTCCTCCTCTCTTCCTCCCTCCCATGTAACACTCTCTGTGTTAGCTAGGAGGAAGTGACTGTACTTCCTCCTAGCGCTGACCTCATCACAGGTGGTCTGGTCGCACTGTGGGAAAGCATTGGATTGGCTAAAAAGCGGAAATTCAGATTATGTCACCAATGAGGTGGATTAGGGGCAGGGCCAGTGCCGGGGTACCAGCGCGGTGCTGTAACTAAGGAGTTTTCACCTTTTCTAAGGGGACTAAAGGGTGTGGGTGGGGCACAGGCCACCTAAATGGTGCGTTAAACACTATAGGGTCATGAATACATGTTTGTGTTCCTGACCCTATAGTATTTCGTTAAATTTGAAATTTGCTTTGAGTTCTCAGTTTTGTGAATAGCCCTGTAAATGTTCAGGTGTTCAAATCACTCCTTATTGTAACATATAAATGACATAGTATAGAGCAGTGAGTTTCAACTGCTGTGCCACAAACACTATAGCTCACTGTAGTGGTCAAGGTGCCAGGAGTTTTTTCTATGCTCCCTTGATAAAGACTTTCAGCCAGAATGTTGGAGTTCTTGTCATTTTATATTATTCTCATATCACAACAGCATTTTTTTTTCTTGCTTGCTTGTTCAGTTATTTTTTGGTATGTCTTTTGATATTTTATGATGTATCATGCAACAAATTAGTTGTTAGGATTGCACGTTGGTTTATTTTTCATATGAATACAATTATCTCTTTACTGATAATGTGTATGTTATTTTATATCATTTTGTGTGGAATATATGTGACTCATGCATATATAGAACGGACTGTTTCAGAATATGTAGTATGATAAAAAAAATTTTACTAATGTCTTTTTGATCTGTTCATGGATACCACATACATGTTTATGTTTTTTAATAAAGTTGGTTAATTTTTTTTATTGGTTGTGCTTATTCATTTAATATAAAATGGCAAGGAGTGCCCTGGCACCCTTGCAGTGTACGGGGTCGCACTGATTTTGGTTTAATTGACAACTTACACAGGTTCTGCCAGGTGTCCACACCAACAGCCCCTGCTTTCAGATTCCCCTTGATTTGACGCACCAACAGCCCCTGCCTCAAGATTCTTCTTGATTTGACAACTTACATGGGTTCCGCCAGGTGCCCGCACCAACAGCCCCTGACTCAAGATTCTCCTTGATTTGACAACTTAAATGGGTTCCGCCAGGTGCCCGCACCAACTGCCCCTGCCTCACGATTCTCCTTGATTTGACAACTTACATGGGTTCCGCCAGGTGCCCACACCAACAGCCCCTGCTTCCAGTTTCTTCTTGATTTGACAACTTATATGGGTTCCGCCAGGTGCCCGCACCGACAGCCCCTGCCTCAAGATTCTCCTTGATTTGACAACTTACATGGGTTCCGCCAGGTGGCCGCACCGACAGCCCCTGCTTCCAGATTCTCCTTGATTTGACAACTTACATGGGTTCCGCCAGGTGCCCGCACCAACAGCTCCTGCTTCCAGATTCTCCTTGATTTGACAACTTACATGGGTTTCGCCAGGTGCCCGTACCAACAGCCCCTGCTTCCAGATTCTCCTTGATTTGACAACTTACATGGGTTCCGCGAGGTGCCTGCACCGACAGCCCTCTTCCAGATTCTCCTTGCAGAAGAATCGTGTTAGTGCCACAGGGCTATGCTGGTCATGCTGTGTTAGAACAACGGGTCAGCTAAACACTCTCAGCCAATGAGTGCAGTCCAATATTTGCCATGCTTGAACTCTATGAAAACACCTGGCTTCTCGAACAGAGGTCCAGGTAAGCTGTCAAAACATTCTAACAATGTTTGACAATTTACTCTGGGAGGATGGCAGGATACCATAAGTACTACACTGAGTTATAGTGGTTATAATGCTTGGAGTGTTCCTTTAAGTCCCTGCCCCCCTTATTAATGTGCTGGAGTGGTAGTTTGGAGCAGGGAGAGAGGAGACAGGAGACAAAAGCGGCTGGCTAGAGCAGCACAGCATTGCACAGTTAGTTTTGCCAGTGTTTAGCCTGATCAGTGGAATTTATGAAGAGGCGGTCTGAATTCTCAGCTTGCTCTCTCTGCCACATTGCTTGAAGCTGCAGCTGATCCTAGCAGCTTTAAAAAGAAAGGTACGGCCCATTTTGTCATCAGTGGGATGGTCTAGCAGGTGAGTGACATTCTCTTCCCAGCCAAGCCAGCAAAACCATGAAAGCAACACAATATTGTATGTTTATTTTATCTGCAATTTGTGCAGTGTTTGTGTTTATGAAGTGTCTGGGACAGTTTGTAAGTGTGTGTGTGTGTGTGTGTGTGTGTCTGTAAATCTGAATGTCTGTGAGTGTTGCTAAAGGTGCTGATTTGTACCTGAATGAGTGTCTGTAACTCGTTTTGTGTTTGTGAGTGCATTTGTGTTTTTTTTAATGTGCATGTGTGCAGATTTGACGCAGGTGGCTCTGTAGGCAGGGTCAGTCTTACACTGGAAATGCCCTGTGCAAAGTCATGTCTCACAGAGATCACCTACTCATCACTATTATAATATATATATATATATATATACACATATACACACACACACACACACACACACACAGGTGATACTGGAAAAATTTGAATATTGTGCAAAAGTTCATTTATTTCAGTAATGCAACGTAAAAGGGGAAACTAATACATGAGATAGACGCATTACATGCAAAGGAAGATAGTTCAAGCCGTGATTTGTCATAAGTGCGATGATTATGGCTTACAGCTCATGAAAACCCCAAATCCACAATCTCAGTAAATTAGAATATTACATGCAATCAATAAAACAAGGAGTGTACATAGAACAATATTGGACCTCTGAATAGTAGAAGCATGCATAAGGACTCAGTACTTGGTTTGGGCCCCTTTTTGCAGCAATTACTGCCTCAATGCGGCGTGGCATGGAAGCTATTAACCTGTGGCTCTGCTGAGGTGTTATGGAAGACCAGGATGCTTCAATAGCGGCCTTCAGCTCTTCTGCATTGTTCAGTCTCATGTTGCCCATCTTTCTTTTGGCAATGCCCCATAGATTCACTATGGGGTTCAGATCAGCAAGTTTGCTGGCCAATCAAACACAGTAATCCCACGGTCATTGAACCAGGCTTCGGTGCTTTTGGCAGTGTGGGCAGGTGCCAAGTCCTGCTGGAAAATGAAGTCAGCATCCCATAAAGCTCGTCTGCGGAAGGAAGCATGAAGTGCTCCAAAATCTCCTGGTAGACAGCTGTGTTGACTCTCTACTTAATGAAGCACAGAGGACCAACACCAGCAGATGACATGGCTCCCCAAATCAACACAGACTGTGAAAACTTCACACTGGACTTCAAGCATCCGTGTGCCTCTCCATTCTTCCTCCAGCCTCTGGGTCCTTGGTTTCCAAATGAGATGCAAAAGTTGCTCTCATCAGAAAAGAGGACTTTGGACCACTGAGCAACAGACCAGGTCTGTTTTTCTTTAGCCCAGGTAAGACGCCTGTGACGTTTGTTGTTCAGGAGCGGCTTGACAAGAGGAATACGACATCTGAAGCCCATGTCCAGAATCAGTCTGTGTGTGATGGCTCTTGATGCACTGAATCCAGCTTCAGTCCACTCCTTGTGAAAGTCCCCAACACTTTTGAATGGTCTTTTCCTGACAATCCTCTCCAGGCTGCGGTCATCCCTGCTGCTTGTGCACATTTTTCTTCCACACTTTTCCCTTCCACATAACTTTCTATGAATGCGCTTTGATACAGCACTTTGGGAACATCCAACTTCCTTTGCAATTACCTTTTGAGGCGTTCCCTCGTTATGGAGTGTGTCAACGATGGTTTTCTGCACAACTGTCAGGTCAGCAGTCTTCCACCTGATTGTGATTCCTGCTGAACCAGACTGAGAGACCATTTAAGGGCTCAGAAACCCTTTGCAGGTGTTATGGCTTACTTAGCGGATTAGAGTGGGACACTGTGAGCCTAGAATATTGCACCTTTTCACAATATTCTAATTTACTGAGATTGTGGATTTGGGGTTTTCATGAGCTCTAACCCCTAATCATCGCATTTATGACAAATCTAAACTATCTTGCTTTGCATAGAATGCGTCTCATATATTAGTTTCCCCTTTTACCTTGCATTACTGAAATAAATGAACTTTTGCACGATATTCAAATTTTCGAGTATTACTTGTATATTTTTTAACTATTTATAGAGCCACAAAATAAAGTCACTCTCAGGCATGGTTAGATATTGTTAAAAACTGAAGGGTTCGTGTCTTTTTCAATAAAAAAATATTCATACATTTTATATTAAATGAGTGTGCCTTGGTCCCATTGGGATAGGATCTGAAGCTTTGATCCCCTCCCCATATATTGAATTTCTACTAATTCATTGAATGCAATACATGGAGAGCGATTCAAGAGATTTGTTGTTCCACAACATCTGGGGGCCAAAGTTTTACGTGCCTGACATAAAGATAGGTAAGATTAACAGGTGGCTATGTAAATAATGATCATTCCAGACAATAATAGCACTGATATGTATTTTAGAAGCTCACTTCTGTATACCTGTCAAGTGTCCCTATTTTGGGTCCAAATCCCTCTTTTCCAGCCTAAAGTTTCTAATTTCTTGGAGCTCCATATTGTTCGTGTGTCTGAGTGTATCACAGAGCTCCATAGCAATATGCCTGTGTCTTTAAACGACAATAAATGCGTTTAGAAATCAGTCTGATTAAATAAGATATGTTGTGCTAGTTTGAATTTACATTTTAGTTGCATAAATTGTTATAAGGCCATCTAAAATGTTCCAGAACAACCCGCCCCTTGTATCAGAGGTGGGTAGTGCTGTAGTAGATCAGACATAAGTGGTTTCAAAACCTGAAGTATGTATATGTAACCTAAAATACTGTAAGTAAATATAAGGAGGTAAGAAAAAAACATTTGCTCTTTATAGCTAACGTACAAAAAAATAGCACAATGTAAAGTGGCTTATCGTGTTGCTATGACAATAAAATGTCACAAGATTGCTCCCAATACCTTATATCACTACAGGCAAGATTTTTACTAACATTAGTAAATGAAAAACCATTGTGATTTATTTTTTGAAAAGTAATAGGTATAAAGTCATTTATAGATCTAGTTTTTTTTTTAGATGATGTATTTTCTTGGATTAAATCAATCTAATATTCTGTATTTTAATTGTACTGGTCTGGATATTCTGATTAGTACTGCCAATCAATTTATTTTGACTTTTTCTCAATGCTAGGGTTAAAATTCCTTCTGAAATTTGACAGACGGTAGTTCTACTATCCCAGCATGTTACACATAAAAAAAATAAATAAAACAAGCATGGTATATGGCAAACTATGGTTTGCTAAAAGAAAGGTAATTACTTTTGATAAACTCTATGCACAGCAAAATAAGTCACGCAAGCTGTTATAAAATAGGGCACACATTTAATTTTTAATAATAAACCTTTTATTGTTAAGGTTTTATTTGCTTCAGTTCCCTAATGAACATTTCAAAAAGGTTGGTTTTATATGCGACGGGTACCATTGTGCACATTACTGGTCACATGACATATGTTGTCATGTAAGCAGTTTAAATAAAATTATAGATGATAACAAAAGAAGAAATACTTTTCTGCGCACCGAGATTCACATACTCCAGGCTCTCTCATATTTTCTGTATTTGTTGCAATGCATTGACTTGGCTCTACCCGCATTAAAAGGGTAATCCAGACGTGGACCCCCTTGCTCAGTGTGCTTAAAAGGGTAACCGCTACACCTCAAAGAATGCCGAAACGATCGTCTGGGGTTGATGTGTCTCTCTAGCAGAGAGAACTTGCTGGTAGTTTGGTTCTGGAATGCACTGGTGGATGGGATCAGTGTGATGTGCCTTTGAACTGGTTCTTCTCTGTAATGGCACAATTGAGAAAAAACTATTTTGAGACCTGAGCGGGGTATTACCGAAGGGCAAGCCACTGCGTTCATCTAAGCTTTTGTCCATTCTCATTTTGTTTTTGTTTCTATTTTGTTCACCTAAATGTTTAGGTTTTCTATGAGAGTAGGGGGTGGGGGAAATCTCATTATGAAGCTGATTTAGTATATTATCCAAATCACTTAGGGAAGTATTTTCAATTAAAATTAGTCTCTGCACACCAAAACAGGCTAACTATAAGCATTTTCACTTTTTTTTTTTTTTTTTAGTTACTGTGCCCTTTTGTGCACTATTAACTAGGTACCCTACAGCATGTGACCCAGTCTTCAATTGTCATATAAATGATATTCAGTTAAAATGAATTTTCAATCAGAAGTTGGCTATGCACTAATACATTTGATAGCTACCCACAGCTCTTCCTGGGGCACAGTGGGCAACAGCATAGTTTATGAATTTTTCATCGTGCCTGTAGTAGAGTACCACTTTAAATTCAGCAAATCTCCATTCACCCTAATACTTATAACTACACAATAAAAACAATTTTTAAAAGAAAAAAAAAAACCTTAATTATTACAGTCTCTGACCAAGACAATGCACTATCAAGCGGCATTGCTATCAAGCGAATGAGGAAAGAAGAATTGCAGATCACAAAAGGACTATTGAATTATAAAAACATTCACCGATCTACAAAACAAGAGTCATCTTGTGCGATTGGACTTTGTTGTTTACATGCATTTCACAAGAACGGAAGGTAATGAGAGCTTAGACCAGCCAAACTGGTTTCACCGACTGGCAGTATGGAGAAGAATAGAGTAGAGATGTAATTGTCTGTTGTGGTCATCTGCTTGCTGCAGTGATCTAATATTACAATGTTGGTATACAGGTGGGATATATAAAATTAATACAAAATACATACTAAACAAAATTGTATGGTAGGTGTTATTTTAAAGATTGCAGCTGCTAATTCTTTCAGATTATAGAATATTCCACAATATGGATATGTATCCCACAGCAGATTTAGATGGTGTGGGTACTTAATCTGTGGAGGGTACAGGCAACATGCCCAGAGATAAATACTTCGCCCCATATCTGGAGGGTCGCTGATGTGTGAGGTCATCATGTCAAGTACCTGCTGCACAATGTAAGGGGGGTTGGTAGTCACTGTACATGTGCCCAGTAGTACACTGAATGACTGTGCTAAAACAAGCTTTTATCCTGGCTCACCTATTTTCTTTACCCTTTTTTTCTTGCGTACAACGCTTAAGGCATATTCACTAAATTGGTAATTGAAAGGGATAGGCCAACATTGCTAAATTGGAGAATGTTTCCATTTTGCCATTACAATTTGAACTTTACTTGTGATTCATGAGAATTCACATTTTAATAAACTGTTTTTGTATTTTGTTTTTTTAATTCTTTCCACCATTCTTAACTTACCCCACATCTCCCTCAAACATTTTTATATGTTGAATGGTCAACTTTTCCCAACTTCCTGGCTGCTAGCCTTTTGCTTACCAAGGATGTTCAAAGCATCACACGGCAGAGAAAAATACCCATAATGCACTTCTACACATCCCTTTTTTAATTTCACCACCAACACACACACACACCGTATATGCTGCAAAGTGTCACTTTAAGAAATCTGATGTGCCTGATACACATAACTTCATATATGCTTAATCTTCACTCAGCTAAACCTATTGTCCTCCCACCCCTAAGCAGTGGGTGGGGGCCCTAAATAACAATAAGGAGGGGGGACCTTTTGTCCTCTCGGTGGGTGGGGGACCTATTATCCTCCCCACAGCCCCAACCCCAGAGCAACAATAGGTCCCCTCTTATTATAATTTAGGGCCCCCACCCACCTCTCAGGGGTGAGAACAATAGGTGTCCCCCCCCGCCTCCCTTTAATAACTCTGATTGAATTGATTGAAAGCTACCATAGTATTGTTATGAGTCAAATTACACGCGGTGTAAAATTAAACCGAGCACTCTGAGTGCTGTGACAGGTAAATGTAGATTGCTTGTCAGAGCACTCTGATTGGTTGGCTTAAACAAACCAATCAGAGTGCTGTGAGCCTAATTGCAGGGCGTGGAAAAGCTTTATAAGCCTTTCAAGGTCCTGCGGAGCTCAGTCTGCGCCATTCCCTCCATGGGTGAAGATGGATTACTTTTTTAGCTATTTTTACTGTCCCTCCCAATATTGTAATTTAGGGCCCCAACCCGCCACTCAGGTGTAGGGGCGGGGAGGACAAAGGTCCCCCTTATTATTTAGGTCCCCCACCAGCCACTCAGGGGTGGGATCAGAGTTTCATTTATTAGAATTAAATTCCGATCCAAAGTCACGAATTGCATCCTAACACAAATGTAGAAACTGTTCTCAATCTGTTAGGATGCAATCCGGTAGTTTCGCCTGCATTCTGTCTAAAATGACAGGACGTTCGGGAAATGTGAAAGGAGGCTTCGCGAGATCGCAGAAGAAAGGTGAGAATTGTGGGGAAATTTCTCTGACCACTGGAAATTAAACACACTTTGCTCCTCCGCTGGTCATGCATATGAAACCTCCAAAAGGACAAAATAGTCCATACTTTGTCTTATGTTTTAAAGAAAACTAGAGCAGACAGGAAGAAATGAACAGATCCTGACAGAGGGAGAGAAGAGGAATCGATTGAAGAAAGGTAAGTTGGGCATGACAGTGCCGTTTTAACCAGCGTAGGAAAAAAGGTTTACCATCAGTCTATCTTGCTTTGGGTTCAAGAACAGTATTCTTGATAAGTTTTTACCAGACAGCAAGATTGTATCTGCACCTTTAACGTTAGTAAAAAAAAAATTAAATAAATCCTCGTCAGTACCAATAAAAAAAAAAAAAAAAATTTAAAACATTTTGGGAAGAATCACAGCTCCTTCCCACTGTTCTGAGAGAATAACACTAATTTGAAAACATATTAAACAGACATACATAGTCTTTAATACATTTTCAACTTGGCTATATAAGTACCACATGCTCTAAATGTGTAAATTTGATACCTGCCCCTAGCCCTACAGTATAGTTCAGGGGTGCACAAAAGGCAGATCCCCAGATGTTTTAAAACTACAACTTCCACGATGCTTTGTCATTCTAAAGGCATGCAAAGCATCTTGGGAGTTGTAGTTCTACATCTCAGGATCTACCTTGGCCACCACTGGTATAGATAATTGCACTTTTAACCAAATGAGGATATATCGACACAGGAATGACCGAACTAAATTTAGGTCAGCGGTCACTCAAATTTAGGATAAATAACAGAAAGCCAGAGGAAATTAGGAAGATGGGGAGAATCCATGTCAATTTTCGCTAGCTTTTATATGTGCCTAAAAAGGGACATTTTACTTTTTTAACAATAAGGTACCAATAAGTAAGTCGATTTAAGAGTTGAGTAAATGAACTCTGATTTCACTCTCCCAGCTCTGCATCAGGGGACCCATTAAAACTTTCAATGAAAAGGTGCCATTATAAGCGGTTATTTAAAGTACAAACATTGGTTAGAAATAAAATTAGCTGAATTGATTTTGCCTCCTGGAAAAATCATTTATCGTTCCCTTCCCCCCTAATAAACAAAACAACCCGACATTTTGGAATCTAGCAGAAACCCAGACATGAGCATTTAAATAGCACAAGTGTTCAAGTACAAAGCGTCTAATATTATACATAACTGCCTTTTATTCTCACAAAAATAAAACAAACATTCTTTGAATTGGATTAAAGAGGCACACACAGAAAATAGAAAGGGGCAATGGAGAGAAGGCAGTTGAATGGAATGTGTAGTTTCCCCCCCAAAAAAAAATTAGGGTAAAGAATGAAGGGACAAAAAAAAAAAAAAAAAAATTAAAAAACAAACAAAAAAACAACTATTTCCAAACTTTAAAATAAATAGGAAGGGCTAAGAAACAGATAGGACTCAATGTGTCATAACTACAGCATCCAACAATGTTTAAAACGGTTGATTCCTCTTTATGTGTTTTATCCTGAAACACCTTTTTAAAATAACAGGATATCAATACAGACTTTCTGTTTGAAATTATTTGAAACAAAGAAAATAAAACAAGCAAGGAAAACTCAAATCCATGCCCTGATGGGTGCATTATGTGTGTCCAGGAATAAACTTTGACAGATACAAATGATTTGTGCATTCAGCGTATTGGCATGTCATAAAAAAGCCTAATAAAACAGAACTCCTGGCCAGTGCAGAGTTAAGATAAATAAGAGCTTCCAATGTGAGCAAACATTTTGCTCCTGTAGAAGGAATGCGATAGCTGAAATAATTCACATAATACAAATATTAAGGCAATTTGGGATTTCTTTGATACAGGAACAAAGTGATTAAGGCAAGGATTTGTTTTCTTGTGCACCTGAAAAACAAAAAACAGACATTTTTGGAGTTTTTACAAATCAATGATTAGTGATATCACATACAAGTAATGACATTTGCACTACAGGCTAAATTTCCCATGAAGCTCAGCAAGCACCTAGAACAGGGGTAGGCAACCTACGGCACTAGTGCCATGCAAGGCACACGGGGGGTCTTTGCACGGCACTGAAGGCTGCTACAACCAAACAGGCTCTGGCCTATCAGGAGTTCCAGTAAAACTTCAGATATCTGCTAATACGAAGAGGTGGTAAAGGACAATCCTCAATTTATGCATTGCAGCACATAGAGGAAGTGATCTCAGAGCACTTCATTCCAGCACTTGTGAATGCGAATCCACACAGTAGTAGAGCAGCTCGCAGTTGCAGCTCCGGTCCTTGACCTGTATCTGGCCAGCCTGGTCTCCACTGGAACCCAGGGAAGCCACCCACACTGCTAGATATACACAGACCTGCAGAATAACCCTCCCCTCATACAAATAATACGGACAGCCCACACACAATCCGCTTAAACGCAACACCACTAACAATCCACATACATGCACACAACCCCACATGCAGCCTCTCACATGCAATACCCCAAACATCCCCCACACATACACACTACCAAACACACAATATCCACACACACACACACACACACACACACACACACAATTCCACAAGCAGCCACCATACACAGCCCACATTCATATGTATCATACACGATACCATAAACTACTCATGAACATATACAATATAATAGCTCATGTACGCACAAATACAAAGATACAAAGCAATTACAGTAAAAATAACACAAGCAGAATCCGGCAGTATACACACTTCAATTTAAAAAATAAATAAAAAATAGGACCGGCATATCACAATCCTATATCGGCACAGTGCTGCTAAAAGGTTGCCTACCCCTGACCTAGAATATGGGCAAGATTAGACAAACATTTCAAACAGGGTTGGAGTGTAAATCATTTAACTTTACAATATGAATGAACATCTACTACCATGCTAGCTTCTGATTATGTGATTTCATTCAAATATAGATTATCCCTGGAATAGTTGATTGTGAAATGGACACGTAGACCTTAATGTGACAGAAAGAAAAAAGCCAGCTAATGTCTCAAAAGGGGAAAAACAAAAAATTCCACACACGCATGCGTCACAGATTAGAGAGAAATTGGTTTTCACAGCCTTCTGATTACTGCTAATGCATTGTGACAATCACCATTTCCCAGATATACCAGGCCTCCATTCTGTACCACAAAAAAAAAAAGTATACAAAGGTGTGCCAGCAATCACAGCTGAAAGTAGGAAAGCATTTCAGTAAATTGCTGGTATGCAGATCTACATTGCTTCACGGCTCTGAAATCTGCACGGTAGCTTTAAATGGAACCAAAAGAACACTGATATTTCACTGGGTTCATCCACGCTCTGTCTCTAGAGGATCATTAAAAGACTAAAGCTGGAGAGGAAATAAGCAGAATATATGGTTCGTAAGAGTGTAGACAAAAAAAAAAAAAAAAATATAAAGATTTTTTACTTACCGTAAATGTCTTTTTCCAGAAGGTTAGAGGCCGTGCTTTACAACTGGGATTTCATCACCTGGAGGGAAAAAACAGGCAGGCAATCTCCCAAACTTTTCAAGAACCTCCCCCTATTAACCTTTGGCCTTAAAAATTGCTTTCTACCCAAGACATCCCCAGAAATTACAAAAGTGAGCACTGCCTCTAATTGAATTACACCAAATTTGAGAAGCGGTACCCTTGAGAATTCCAGGATGCCTATTTACAGCTAAGGTCCCCAAAGATTCCTCCGGATAATTTTTGATGAACGGTGAAACAGCTACTTGACACCAAGGGAAGAAGACTATCATTCTCACCTTTTCCATCCTATAGGATCTTGGGGAATAGGGAACCAGGAGGAAACTATAGGTTAGACTGGAATTCCCAAGAAAGCAGAGGATAGAGCAGACAGAATAGCTACAACTGCATTTCAAAACCTGTTTGAGTCAAACTCTGCCGGAATATTAGAAGTAATTCTTTAAAATTGCAATTCCAACCAACAGCCTTACATGATAAAGGCTTTCCTTAGCCGTATTTGGGAAACAGAGGCTAGAGCAGACAGAATATCTGCAACTGCATTTCAAAACCTGTTTGATGCAGACTCTGCAGGAACCAACAGTCAGTTAGGTCAAACCTATCTGACAACAAAAGACTTGGAATTCAAGATAAAAAATAAAATGTGCAACCATGGAGTGAAGCACATGAAAAGTTCTGCCCCAGCTGAAAAACAGACTGCCTTTTTAGAAACGGATATCAGGTGAAACTAGTTGAGGTGGTGAGAATGCTAATTGCAACAGAACTTTGTCTACAGCAATTGCTAAAAGCCTACTGCATGTTTAAGAAAATAAACACTGCGGCTAGGATCCTGGCATTTAAAGAATCCATCTGCTACAACAGTATATTAACTTAACCAAAATTAGTAATAATCTTTAAGTGATGAGAAGTTAAAAACTCTCCAACTTAGAAACATTTTCGCTTTTTTTAGCTTATCCATCTTGCAGCACAGATAATTAACTTATTCAGGCTAGAGTCATTTAAGATAAAGCAAAAAGGATTACCTTAAATGTCCTCAGAGTTGGTGAGAACACACTTGCAACAGATTCTGAGTGCACCTGGCAACAGTTAGTTGCTGCTGGGTAAACAGCCTCTGTAAGTCCTGGAAACCAATATCTTGACCCCAGAGAGAAAAATAATAAAGATATTGGCGTCTGAATTTTAAGTCGCATTACGCATGTCCTGCATTTCGCGATTCCACGGTGGAAATAAACGTAACCTGTATGAGTGTTCCACCGCCAGGACTTCCCAGCTAGTACCCAAATGCGCACCATCGTCTGCCCGGCACCTGGTTCGGTATAGACAGAAGTAATATAACCCGGGGAGATACAGCCGTCTGGTGAGTTATCCCTGGCTGATCTCTGAAAAATGAATTTAAAGGAAGTAGAGCCTCCAGAGCCTCAGCCCCCTCACCATACTTCTAGGGAGAAAACTTGAACGTGACACCCTCTGCCAGAGGCAGGCAAAGAACTGGGGGATGTCTTGGGTATGAAGCAATTTATAAGGCCAAAGGTTAATTGGGGGAGGTTCTTGAAAAGTTTGGGAGATTGCCTGCCTGTTTTTTCCCCTCCAGGTGATGAAATCCCAGTTGTAAAGCACTGCCTCTAATCTGAATGGAAAATAATAAATAAAATATATATACATACACACACACACACACCTACCTGGAAATCACGCAGCAGGGTAGTGATCAATATGGAGATAGTTTAAGGCCAGTGGTATTTCAGGTAAAAGATGATGTCAGGAGTTAGCTGAGGGCCAAAAAGTGGATTCACCTGTGACAATATGGCAATCAGCCAACTGCAAGAAAAAGGAACAAAGTGGCTAAAGGAAAACATGTACGTTTGTTACAAAACTTAATCATGCTATGTTCACAGCTACACATAATCTGTGGGATATTGTCATTCAAAGAGAGGGACAAATATAATATACCCCAAAAACATGTACCAAAAAGGTAAATTCACTCATTGGTTGAATTGGTTTATTGTCACGAATAAAGACTGGGGCAAATAATGGATGGAGCTTATTCACTAAACACCAAATTGCAGTGAATTTTTATACAAACTACAACATTTAGGCAAAAATGCAGATTTTGGACAGTTTCAATTACAGTTATCTATTTTTTTTTTACATAAAATTATGCAAATCTGTTTGCAATTCACTACTATTTGATGTTTAGACATATCGTGAGTTAAAGTACCACTATAGTGCCCTGAAGGTGCCCCCACCCTCATGGCCCTCCTCCCGCCGGGCTGGAGTTGGAGGAAGGCGTTAAACACTTACCTTTCTCCAGCGCCAGGCACTCTCCTCCCTCTTTGGCTGAATGTGCATGCGCGCAAGAGCCGCGCGTGCAGTCAGTCCATAGGAAAGCATTCGCAATGCTTTCCTATGGACGCTGGCGTCTTCTCACTGTGAAAATCACAGAGAACCACGGAAGCGCCTCTAGCGGCTGTCAATGAGACAGCCACTAGAGGCTGGATTAACCCATATGTAAACATAGCAGTTTCTCTGAAACAGCTATGTTTACACCAGCCGGGTTAATCATAGATGGACCTGGCACCCAGACCACTTCATTAAGCTGAAGTGGTCTGGGTGTCTATAGTGGTCCTTTAATTCAAGCAAAGAATAATGAAAAATCTATATTCTTATTGTATTAACATAATTTATACAGGGCTCTAAATTTTCACTTGCCCACTAGCCATTGTCAAATTAAAAATTCAAAGCTGGCGAGCAGAAATTCACTTCTGATGAGTGTGCTATGGACCCTCCAAATCTACCTAGTAGAGTATTACTTGAAATTTTGAGCTCTGACAAAGTATTCTGAAACATGCATCAAGTAATAAGGAGCACACAGACTTATAATATTAGCAAAGAACAACCCCCCAAGACCTATGCCAAAAAATGTAATTGGCACAGATCAATTGGAATTTGAAGTACCATCCAGAAAGTGGTGAATCATTTTAATCGAAATATCTGTTCCATGGCAAGCACTATACCAATAAATCCACTGGCATCTTAGGTGTACCTCGGTGCTCTCCTCACCCCCATACTTCCATTGCCTAGCATTTGATGTAAATCCTGGTCTTTTCCTACTGCTCAGTCATCTACCCACCAATGTGTTCTCAAACACTTTCCTTACCTTCAGGAGTGTCACCCTTGATATACCCCATTTCCCCTCCAGTACTTGGCTCCCCAAACTGAAATCCTCACAGACATGCATTTCCATAAATTGCAAGGGCGTCAATCCGTCAAAACACCACCAACTTTTGAGATGACCCATCGTACAAAAGCAGGCATAATATACACACACACACACACACACACACACACACACACATTACATATACACACAAAAATTATGCCCCTTTGATCTCAGATCAACAGTATCAGACCCCCATGGAAGAAACCTCACACCTGTCCGTCCAAATACGCATTCACGTTAGTCTATGCCCCCATGATAGCAGACCCACACTTTTGACAAGCCTTACAGACACATCTTGCTTTATTCCTGACCCATTACCAGGATGTCAGAGGCAACTTTAATGCTGTCTTTTCACCCACAACTGACAGACGTAGGACACGACAGACGTCTCTGACTTCACTACTGACAGCCAGATCAAACAAACTCTTCACATCATTCACAGTCCAATCCCATTAGGTATTTAGACACTACAACACCCAATAATGGCCAGTTTTTGCCATACCAATCATACTCCAGGATCGTTGCTTATTAACATCATCAATTGGTAACATTTCCTGGTCAGACAACACTGATTTCTATCACCCTAAAACTTCCACAAATCTCCAGGTCATTATCTTGACACCTCAATCCCATCCCCTTACATGTACCACAAACGACTACAGAGATAAGGATAGAACTCACTGAATATTTTTCCCTTAATCAAGACTCAGTAACATTCCCGCAATTTTTTAGGATGCACCTAAAACTGTCCTTAGGTGCAAATTTATAAACATAGCTTCTGCCTACAAAAATAAAATAAAAATTAAATTAAATCAGCGACTGTCCGACTTGGAATCTTTCATAATGACTATACGTGGCCTAGGAACTATGCACAAACTCAATCCAACCCAAAATCTAGTCAAATCTTAACACCTCAACAAGCCCTTAAGTCCATGATGGCAGCTGACGCAGCAAAAGCACTCCAACGGACAAAACAAAGAGTATTGAGAAAAAAAAATAAAGCAGATAAAATCCTAGCACACAGGCGTTTACAACAAAAGACAATAATCCCTGCCCAGACGCTGGTGATCAATATCCCATCCCAATCTAAAATGTCATACCTAACGAGGGCAAGGACTTAAATCCTTAACTGTGACCTGAAATTATTCACAAAAATCCTCACCTCCAAAATTCAACCCTACTTACCAACTCTCATCCAAGAAGACCAGGCTGTGTGAGCCATACGTATGACAGAGCTGTTCTAGACTACTTCACTTCTGACACATCATGGGAGGCATTCCTTAATGCAGTGTTAAATAAGTGATGACAGCTATCAATTACTCCATCAGATACGAAGCAATTATGTTTGTCTACAACACATGACTGCCTCCAATATAACAATTCTGTTGAATGAATGCCTTTAAACAACAATGAAGTATGAAATGCTAAATTTATAAAAAAAAATTATTAACCAATGCATTCTGTAAGGTTTTTTTCTTTAAAGAGACGGCTTCTATAGAACAGGATTTAAAAGAATCAAAGATTGTAAACACTAGCATTCTCAGGAGGGTCATACGCAGCATTTTCCTTTCTTGTTTTGTTGCATTGCAGGTTTTATAGAAGAAGAAGAAGGAAAAAAAACAACCGAGCAAGCTTGTGACTGCAGATCTGCTGGAAAGAAGGTTATATAATGCTGTCCCAAAAACCATATACTTGAAAGCGGATCTGGTGATTTGCTTTTTTTTTTTTTTAAAGACTGGAATGAAGATAAGGATCATCCCAACTACACCAATTTGGGTATATACAAAAAGTACTCCTGTAAAAATAAATTGCAAACACTGGAAGACATTTAGAGATCAACTGTTCTTGGCTTCTTTCTGCCCACTGACACAGTCTACAAGGGATGCACAATATGGTGACATTTAGCTACTAGTAATCTTAAAGGAACACTACATTATTCGGAATAAAAACATATGTTCCCAACACTATGGTGTCCTGCTCTCTATACTCCATCGCAGTAGCAGTCACCTCCCTGCTGCAGAACATCAAAGATGATGAGCTCAGCCAATCAAATGGACTCTGGGAGCAGTATTCAATGAGACTTTGTTCTCACAGGGGAAGTGACTTTCTGGAAGTCAAATCATAACATTGCAATATCTACTAAATGACAATGTTTTAGACTACAGGGTTCTAAACTAAACAGCCACTGGACACAGACCACATCATTGAGCTAAAGTGGTCCAGGTGCCTTTAGTGGTCCTTCAATTGGCAACATGGAAACCAAGAGCATGCTGTCTGCAAAAGGCAACAACATGCAAACATTGCTGTAGTGCACACTGCTGCAAGGTAACCAACACCAATAGACAGTGCTGCCAACAATTTACATGTAGCAACCAGTCTGCAGTGCTCAAGTGATCGTGGTTGGGCAGACAGTCTCTCCAACAACAAGGTTTGCAGGCTCTGGGTAAGAGTCCAGCTTCCAACTATTTTGACAGGCCATCTATTGTTTGCTGCATGTGGGAGGTGATGAGTGAGTGGAGTAGCTGTCCCCAGTGGCAGAGTCATCACACGAAGGGAGAACCTCAGTAACAGTTATTAAAAGTGACACTCCAGGTGCGAATAGAAATGTTAATGGGACACTATAGGCACCAAGACAACTTTAGCTTGATGAAGCAGTTTTGGTGTATAGATCATGGCCACTGCAGTCTCACTGCACAATTCTCTGCCATTTAGGAGTTAAAAATCACTTGTTCCTGTTTATGCAGGCGTAGCCACACCTTCCCTGGCTGTGGCTCATACAAGTTGCATGACAACATGGTTTTATTTTCAATCAGATGTTAACGTACTTTAGAAGTTTTGATCTCCTACTCTGTAAAATGAACTTTAATCACACGGTGAAGGCTCCAGCAAAGTCTAGCCGGGAAAGGACAGAGCAGGAGATAAGAAATTCTATATTAAACAGACTTTGAAATACTGAACGTGTAAACATACCTCTCTTTACAAAGAAAGTGTTTAGGATAGCTGTGTAAGTCATATACAGGGATCACTAGGGCTGTATAAACAAAGTGATTTTGAATTGAGCAGTGAGACAGCATGGGTATGATCTATACACCAAAACTACTTCATTAAGCTAAAGGTTTTTGGTGCTTACAGTATCCCTTTAAAGGAACACTCCAGCCACCTTATCCACTACAGAGCTCTGCCTGTCTGCACTACATCCACAGGAGAGCTGGAAGCTCTTAAGCAGGAGCTACCAATAGCTTTCCCGGGCTTAGCCCAGACAGATCTCTGGTTCATTGCCCGAGGTAGTGGAGGCAGCGAGCAGTGCACTGTCAGACCCCAGATAAGTCAAACTATTCTAAAAATGATGTGACTACTTACAATGGGATGATGCCAGCGCTCTGCAATGATTATGGTGCTCTGAGTATTCCTTTAATGTATTTGATAGGTTTTTGCCTTGTTAATATACTGAATTTCCTGCATGCTCAAATATCCATATAGTTTTGCAAAAGAATAGAATAAATGTTTGCGGCTTTCTGCATTACAGGCCTGCCTCCATATCCACTCCTATTCTAACACACATAATGCCTTAGCCCTGTATATACACACTGCTCAGCTACTAGCCCGTGATCTGAACTGCAGGAGGGCAAGCGGACAGCATTACATATAAGTCTGTTTGTATGTTTGTCTTACTGCCAGGAGAGCGCGAAAAAGAATAACAGTATTATTACAGTGATACAGTGGCTATGAAGTGTGCAACAAAATCTCACCTTCCACTACCCTACATTACCCAGCCACCAGTGATGTAGAAACCTCCACCTTGATCCCCAGCAATTCTCCACCAAACTCCTTTTACCCATCTCAAATCTCATTTGCCCTAACTCTGCAACCTTACTCTACAACTCCACTCTCTTCTCAGCTAGACATCACGGCATCGCCTACATTTAAATGCAGCAAGCGTTCCCAATTACAACCCTGGCACACCAAGCAGACCCAAAATGTTCAGGAACTGCTAAACGCTGTTGGAGAAATGCTCACTCTGCATCAGACTTCCTCTACTATAAATTTATGCTGTGCTCCTACACTCTACTCTGCAAAAGTAAAATATTACTTCAATACCCTCATAACCGCACTGTCCCACGAACCCAAACTACTATTTAACACTTTTAATGCTCTCCTTCGTCCTGTTCCACCTCCTCTAACTTTGCAACTCACTTCACTGATCTCTAACCTCTCCCCCTCCCCTTCCAAGACATCGCCCAACCCCACTCCTTCTGCTGTTCTATACTCATTCACTACTACTACTACTACTACTACTACTACTACTACTACTACTACTACTACTACAACAACAACAACAACAACAACAACAAAAGAGGTTTCTGCACTGCTCCGGTCCTCCCACCACCTGCTCCCTCGATCCTATTCCCTCATATCTCATCCGCACAAATTTTAGTGAGAGGGAGACAATCTCTCCCTTTCCTCCGACACATTTCCCTCACCCTTCAAGCATGCAACCATAATGCAGATTCTGAAAAAGCCCAACCTTGACCCCAACTCCTCATCCAACTACCACCCTATATGACTACTGCTGTTAGCCTCCAAGATCCTTGAGAGAGTTGTGCATCCAAGATTGACAGACTTTCTCGAATCCAACGCTTGACCCGTTTCAGTCTGGATTCCGCGCTCATCACTCTGTTGAAACAGCTGTGACCAAAGTATCAAACGATTTCATCACTGCTAAATCTCACGCCCATTACTTTATCCTAATTCTACTTGATCTTTCTGCTGCCTTTGACACTGTTGATCATCAACAGATTCTTCTCATTCTCCGTAATCTTTACGGGATACTGCTCTCTCCTGGTGCTCCTCCTACCTCTCCCAACACTTTTTCAGTGTTTCTTTCTCTGGCTCTTCTTCCCAAGACCTCTCTGTTGGCATTCACCAAGGTTCCGTCCTTGGTCCCCTCCTGTTCTCCATCTATACTGCTTCCCTTGGTAAACTCATCAGCTCCTTTGGCTTCCATCATCATTTATATGCAGATGACACAAATCTTCCTGTCCTCTCTCCACCCATATTGACTCATGTCTCTGACTGCCTCTCTGTGATTTCCAACTGGATGGCTGCTCACTTTCTTAAACAACCTATCCAAAACAGAACTTCTGGGTCTTTCCTCTCTCAAGTGTTGCTACTCCCGTGTCTGTCTTCTTCCAAGTCAACATCACCTCTACCTCGCAGGCTCGTTGCCTAGGTGTTCTCTTTGACTCCGACCTCTCCTTCACCCCTCACGTCCAGTCGATCGCCAAATCCTGATGCTTCCATCTCAAAAACATAGCTTGCATCCGCCCCTATTTAACACCAGATGCGGCTAAGGTGCTTGTCCATGCTGCTGTCCTCTCTCGCTTTGACTACTGCAATTCCCTTCTCAGTGGTCTTATGTGTTCCCAGATTGCACCACTGCAATCGATAATGAATGCGGCAGCATTGCTCATCTTCCTGTCTGCCCGCACCTCCCACGCTTCCCCCACTTTGTCAGTCCCTACATTGGCTTGCAGTTAGATACAGTGCTCAATTTAAGATTCTGGTGCTTGCTTACAAGTCCCTACATAATGCTGCTCCAACCTACCTATCCTCCCTAATACACAAGTATGTCCCATTGAGGCCCCTGCGCTCTGCCGAAGACCTAAGTCTATCCTCTGTCCGTACTCTCACATCTGATGCTCGCCTCCAAAACTTTTCCAGTGCTGAACCTTTTCTGTGGAACTCCCTTCTCCGTTAGACTTTCACCCAGACTCCACTCCTTCAAAAAAGTCTTTGAAAACACACTTCTTCTGGAAAGCATATTATCTAAACGGTTAGCAGGTTTAAATCCCCCCCACCCCCATGACTCCTCTCCTGTAAAAATATAACCTACTAAGTTCTCAGTGAATACTTTTCTAGCAACCTATTTCATTACCCCTACTTATACCGTTTGTGTCACTATACTCCAGTCCCTCTAGCATGTAAGCTCATTGAGCAGTGCCCTCAACCCCTCTCTTTCTGTGCGTCCATTTGTCTGGTTACAATTAGGTGCCTGTTGGTCCACCCATTGTATATCGCTACGGAATTTGCTGGCACTATATAAATAAAATAATAATGTCACAGTTGGGGGTCTTTCCAAATTATGCACCATAAGTAATGTTACATTTCTGCCTGGATTGTTTCTTTAATTTCAGTAGGGACTCACCTCAGGGTAGCGTTCACCATGGAAACCAGTAGGCAAATACAATTAGTTACTCCTACCCTTTGACATATTTATACCCCTTTGCAAAATCTTTCCTAACATATCCTGGCTACACAGCTTCCCATGAATCAATGTGTAGCAGATGGCATTGGGCTGTCCTAAAAATTACAGTTATTGCTATGTGTTCGGTTAAATTGTGACATGTGTATGTGAAATGTATGCAGCATTTGTCTGATTGTTCGGTAAAATCACTCCAGTTATTATGCGAGTGAAACTACTGAACAATCAGACCACCCCAGGAGTAAGTGTGCCTCCAATTACCGTTCGCAACAATGTTGCAAACGGGTAATGGGCAATTCGTATAGTGTGGTCTTTGTTCTCTGGGTGGCCGCAATTCGGGAGACAAACGTGGCGGCGGCCATTTTAAACTCCCGAACAGCGGTGTTTTGCAGTCGAGTGTCTGGAACCCAAATCGGACACTCGGTTAGGCAAACACCGCTGAGATCTCCACACTACTGCCAATTCGTATAAAAACTCCAAAAGGGGAAGCCGAATAGGGGGATTTACCCGAATCCTCCCCAACTCTCATAACCCAAGCCATTCGTGTGTTTCAGTCCCTTTTCTGTGACCGACTGCAGGGCCAAAATACATGGAACCCTTTTTGGCTGTTAACCCCAGAGCGGTCGGTCTTTTTAGTACCTCCAGGAATTTCCCGAACCTCTGGTCCGATCTGGGTGATTTTTGGATATGTGTCTTACCCAGATCAGGGCTACCAGGGGATGTAATATTTAAAGGGGTACCCCTATGTTTAGTGGTACATCCAGAAACCCAGGGAATTTGTGTCCTGCATAATGGGATTATGTGTCACACTAAGGGGAGGGGATGTGTGGGTGGAAACTCGTATGTGATTGGTGTATGGTGTAATTATTGTAAATCCCTCCCTTGCATGGGAGAATGCTTTAAAAGACGGTTGTGTGATTAAAAGTTCTGCTCCTGATGCTGTGTGTCCTCTAGTCATTGGGATTGATGTTGGGATATTATTGGATTGTTTTGCCTACTGGAAGTATTGCCTTATGGATTTATAATACTTGTTCCTGAGCCTCACTGGGATCTTAAATGGAGATAACCTGTGGAATATCAGCTCTCCACTACACAATGCTCTTTTGTAACAGATCAAAACAAAAAAAAACAAAAACAAAAAAAACACACACACCACAACAACAAAAGTGCACATATGTACCCTCCTGGCTGTCAGATAGGTACAAAACAACCCTCTATGAGAAGCATTCTGTTAGCTGGGAGATCATGTCTGATGACCACCGACAGGTAGAGAGAAGAATCCCAAATGTAGAATTTCTATATTTTTTTTTTTTATTTTATTTTTTTTTTACACCTTATAAACACATTTAGTTACCATAAATTTTAAAAAATCCTGGGAGGCAACAGCTCCTCTTTAAGACCATAAAAGAATAAAACAAACAAATCCACATCTGGTGTTATCACACAATAAACTGATTGAGAGTGACTAGAGCTGTGCATGCACTGCAGGGTTCCAATGCTTCTTTAAGAGAATCACTGGATTGGGTCACGACCGTGAATACTGCTAATCTCAAAGCACACAGAATGGTTGCAATATAAAAAACTCTCACATTCGATTATAGGAAAGCAAGCTATAAATAAATAAATAAAAATTATTTGTTTTTATTTCAAAGAGGGACCCCCAAATCTAAAATACAGAAACCGTCAAAAGCTAAAAATTTTATATATTTAGCCTTGTGTGATCCTTCAACTAGACAGCTACAGAGCATTTCAAACATATTCATTATTCATACTCACAGTACATTCCTTTTTATTATGCCTACAACAGGCCAAAGCAATTAGGAGCTAAAGGACAGAACTATTTAGGAGTAAACAGTGTGTTGTCAGTCCCAACTGGTGTAAGGCAGCAACTAGCTAAATATTCACCTAGAGAATGTCTAGAAATGGCTGGTTGGGCGGTAAAGCTAATACTGTATATATTACACATACCTTCATCTGTGGAAATAAACCGGTTATCACATAAGCACATCATATTTACATACATACACACAAAAATAAAACAAAACTAGGACTAATGTTCTGTATTTGTATGGCTGTAAAACATTTGGAGATCTGGGAGGATTGTCCACTGACTATCTCTTATTATACACTCGTGATATCTGAAGCTGAATAATAGTACGCTTAACGTAGGATACATTACCTATACAATGTTTTAGAAGGTGAACATTAAAACAGATTTTTGGGGGTCATGCACAGATCACATGTGACAGGGCAGTCTGAAAGACCGGTTTACATATGCAAAGTGAAGACAGTTGAAGCAGTGAAGGCTGGCTCACACACATGCTTTATACTCACAATAGATAGCAGCAGACTGCACACGTCACCAGCATTGTGTTAATAACCCTGCAAGAGGAGAAAAAAAAAAAAAAAGACAAAAAAGAATGAGATACGTCTGTTTTCCCCAGTACTTCTCACTGTTGCATCCTCTGACAATTAAATGGTCAACATTCTAAACAGCTAAGTAACTTAGAACATTTCACACAGGTTACGACCAAGATCAACAAAGACTTGTAGAATTTGAAACCAGAAATCAGTACATTTATGGTGCTCAATACACAAAAGATGCACAGTGGTTCTCTGGGTCATTGAGTTTACCCAACAATGCGTCACGCTATTCTGTAATGTAAAATTCATATTTCAAAAGAAACTATATGAACAGGCTGGAAACTCAAGCGGTATATTACAAACGTTAGGGTTTATTTACTAAATGGGGAAATATAGAGAATTAGCAATGCAATTGCAAGTTTTAATCCTAAATAGAAAAATTGCAGTGGTTTTTTTTTCCTCCCAATTTTGACCAGAGTCCCCTTGCCAATACTCCACAAATCACCTGTTTAAAACAAAACGACTATTTTTCTACATAGTTTAGTCTTTCGGCATAGGGATAAAAAGCTTCTAGTGTACATGTGAAGATGTGAATCTCACTCATTGAACACAATTGTGTTCAATCACAAGCGGTAGAACATATTAGGGATTTAAAAAAAGGAGCAAGTGACCGAGTGTGCCAAGGTGCCTGGAATTTAAAACAAAAACAAAAACCAACAACAAACTCAAGTTACAGGATATGTAGTTCAGCATGAGAAACAAAGAATGAAACTGCTGCCCAGGCCGCAAGCAACTAAACTGATTTTCAATTTTAAAAAATATTTTATGTTATAAGTTTACATTGTACGAATAAATTAAACTATTTTAGAATAGTCCTCTGGAGCCTATTGAATCTACTTAGGGGAAGTGCTATCCCCACAAATATTGGCATGTAGCTACTACCCCTCAGAGCCAGGATACAGGACTCTGAATAAGGGGAGCACTTTCCTTATTCTCACCTCAATACCATTTGAGACAGACTGCACATTTGATCCCTTCTCTCCATGTTTTAACTTTGAGATACATCAGATCGTGGACAGCAGGTGTGATGCTGCCTTAAAAGCATACAAGCCTGATTACAGAGCCAGCGTTCATATACAGGCTCCTTTAAATGGGAGTGTTCCACTTCACCACCATTTTATCTGATTTTTTTTTTTTTGATTTACCATTTGCACTGTATTGCTTTTTCTATTTTTATTTTTTTCACATGTACTATACAAGTTTGCTATCAAGTTGTATAGGGTAACTGTACCCTGCCATTTTCTTAGCGCTCCACTTATAGGTGTAGGTTTTTCACTTATACCACCTTATAGATTTTCAAGTGAACTGATATCTGCATTCATGGTTTTAATGAATGGAGTTTATATGCAAATGCCTTTGAATATGATACTGGTTGCTTGAAAGAAAGTTATGATCGTGCACAGAGACATGTTGATTTTTATGGCATGTTCACATGTGGCTGGCGCTAAATGTGCAAATACTTGCACAAGAGAGACACTGCTTCTTCCTGTGATGTGGCCAATAGGTACACTAATTTCTGCAAAAAGCATGGAGGCAGAGGACTGGACCATAACCTATGCAAGAAGCTTAGTAAAAGAATAGACAAGTGAGGTGTAGACAACCTTCGGCACCCCATATGTTGTGGACCATGTCTCCCCTGATGCTTTAACAGTAGTATGGCCATACGACGTAAGAGCATTAAAGGAGATGTAGTCCACGACATCTAGAGAGCCGAAGGTTGTCGACCCCTCATCTAGAAGAATGATTTAGCTTAAATCTGAAGCCAGGCTATACATCATAGGTTTATGGAATATATGATTAACATTTACGAAGAGGCAACTAAAGCATATAAACGGAATGCACAATAGCAAGAAACATAGTGAAAGGTTTTCTGTAGCTAGCTGAAGCTTAATACTGGTCTATAGTCAATATTCCAAAATTAAACATGTACAAGTAAGCAAAAACAGAGGAAGTTGGGGTAATTCTCCAACTCTAGTTTAATCAGTGTGTTGCAAGATCTAGGCCAAAACATTACCTATAATGGCAGTTCAAAATACATAGTTGAGTGAATTAAAGGAACACTTAAAAACTCTACTCCAAGCTGTATGTGTTGTTTTAGTTTCCTTGAGTCTATGAGTACATCACACAGTTTTATATCTAAATGTAAAGGCAGTTTAAATAAAATTGCCATCTACTTGGCATCCGGAGACCACCCCAGCCTCAGTGATTGGATGGAATCAACACTTCTGTAATATCAATGTCAACTTGTCAAAAATATATGAAATTGATAGGCAGGGAACATTAAGCTAACCCACAAACAGGTGCACAGGCTGGACTCTACGGAACATAACCACCATCATGATTAGCTGTAGTGGTTGTTTCTTACACCCCTTGCAATTATGAAAACCCACAAACTAATGTGACCTGTGCCTCAAATGCTGACACTTTAGTACATATTACTGCTGCTTGTGTGTACACTAGGGTAGAGAAAGGATATGACAAGCCAACGAGCAGCTCGAAGGAAGTAGAAGGTGATCTTGCCTGTGGAATGAATGATTAGATGACAAAAGCAGACATGCAAAAGGACTTGAAACAAAAAGTAATGTCAGTAAATAAAGTGTATAGAAAACATTGTGCTCTGTCTTTAGCGTGAAACAAAAATCAACTCTAAACAGAATTTATTTTAAATGGGCAGAATAAATTGACTAATTGGCTTTTATCTACCATCAAAATCTAAATTTGTGTTTTCTATACCAGACCTTGCCTCTACAGCATTTATAAAGATAAAAATCAAGCAAAATACACTTCTAGTTTAAACCAGTGTATGCTGAAGTATACAAAATAAAACCAACAGCCATCCTGGCATCAACTCGTACAAGCGTGTATTGACAACAAACAGATAGGCTGCACATTAGGGTCACACCTCACCCTAGGAATAATTTTCCAAAGTTTTAAAATTTGTTCAAACTCAATATAACTGAGGTCTGAGAGGAAACCGATACCAGGTACGGAAAAATAAAATAACAATGGTATTTAATTACAAACTAACCTACATGTCCAGAGGTGAACATGTATCGAATATAGGAGATCAAAAAAGCAGAACAGCTTATGCCATCACTATTTAAAACAGCAGTTCCTTTTTCTTTTTTTCAAAGCAGTCATTTGACCTTCAAGGAAGTGCTAAGGGCCCCAAATCATAACTAAACAAAAACTTCACCAACTGATTTGGATATCCCATTGATGACCATATAGATGGACCATTTATATTTAAGAAACATGTTTATCTGGTAATGCCCCTTATATACGTACTGACTGCAATTACATCAATTAAGGCCTAAAGGTTACAGCCAGTGTAAGACAAAAACATTATTAAAATCAAGTCAAAATAATAGTGTTATAAAACAAGAGACCTATCTGGATCCAATTTATTTAGGCAAGCAATAATTGTTCAGCAGGCACAGCAGCTGAACACATTACTGTCAAATACTCCAAATCTAGCAGTGGACACAGCAAGTAACTACTACAATTACAAAGAAACTTTGGTGAAGGAAAATAAGATACAATGGGCCATGAGCAAAATATGGTGATAGTGTGTAAAGAAACAAATGGGATTTAGAATTATTCAGCTTGAAGGAGGTAAAAAAAAATAAAAAAAATAAAAAAACCACACACCTTTCTCCCTCCTCCCCAAATACTCATAACACCAAACCATGTTTTAAAAAGGTGTTACCATGTGACTTAATTACAAGTTAAAGCGACTTTAAATAATACAGTTTATTATTGTGCTACAAGTTTTGTGCAGTCATTCCAATTTTTTTCTGCCAAATCATTTTCTGACAAATTTAAGCGGTGATGTGAGGCTACAGGAGTGGGCTTGAAACCCTCTAGCTCTTACAGATGAGTGTTGGTCATATTTAGATTGGTTTGTAGAAACACCGTGGAATTCTCTCCTTGAGCGAAGAGGGTAAGCTTTGAGTGGCGGGATTACGCAGTTTTTGTAAAACCATCCGTAAACATAAACCAAAGAGAATGCACTGAACAACAACTTCTCACCACAACAATGTGTGTGTGTGTGTGTGTGTGTGTGTGTGTGTGTGTGTGTGTGTGTGTATATATATTATATATATATCCCGAAAGTATACAGTTGAATCAATTAAATTCATCACAACAGATGATATGGGTACACATGCACACTGACACCTAGCAAAAGTTACATTTCAGGCAATAAAATAAGTGTTTTAGTTGGAAACAATTGTGGAGAGCAGATATAAGCATTAAAAAAAAAAACCCAAAAAAAAAAACCCCCCCAAAAAACCTTATAATGCAAAGTTAGATACACACACACTGTATACCCTGTGACTGTGACCCAAAGTTTTACGAAGAGCAGAGAAGCATCAGACACAGTGTCAGGGGTAGGTGATGCCAATAAGATAACTTTACACAAATCAATAATATTATATAAAATGTAACAAACATGTATGCTGGTCTTCCCTTTAACCCTTTCCTAACCGCTGCCCAGCGTTTTGGGGAGTGTAACTAGGAGGCTGTGAAGCCCCCCATTAGTTAGTAGGTCCCTGATACTATGCCCGGGGCGCTGTGGGGGTCAGTGAGTGGGTGTTAGCTCCCTCTATGTCTATGTCCAGGGTAAAGTAAGTGCACGCTCCACTGAGTAGTGTCTCCACTCCCACTCACCCTCGGTTGGGTCCTTTGGGTATAAACCAGGGCAGCACGGCTCCGATGAAGCCCCAGAACACGGTCATGACGATGATGGGTACGAGCAGCCCGGGGTAGGCCATGGTGTCAGCACCGAGCACACGACTAAACCTTCCTGCACCAGCCGCTCCGGCAACTTGGGGAACTGAGGACTGGAGTCAGGTGACTTCAGCGATGGTCATGTGATTGCAGCCTGGCCACGCCCCCGTGATGACGTAGACAGTTTTGGGGGAGAGGAGCAGGAGGGGTGAGGTGTGTCTGAGAAGGGTCACATACTGCCACCTTCCCTAATGAGTGATAGTCTGCTCTAAAGTGTGGGGAATTCAAAGGGAATTGCAAATCTGAGGCCAAAATAGCTGAACTGTAAAAAGCTGTTTTGATTTTGGCAATTTAGGTCAAAAGTTTTTAAATTCACTTTGAATTCCTCACAATTCACATTTTTCAGTGAAAAAAATCTGTGCGGTTTTGTTTTTATTTCTTTCTCTCAGTGAAAAGATCAAATAAAGGGATATTCATTAAACTCTGCATTGTGGGGGATTAAAAGCAAAACAGCAAATTCTTCAGATCACCATTAGGCACCAGTTGGCTATTTTAGGCTGAGATTCACTATTTGGATTTCAGTTTGCTACAGTTCGGATAACCTCATAATAGTATTCACATGACGTTATTCATAAATGTCCCAGTACTGAATGGGGCAAAACCATCTGTGTGCAAATGGGGTCAGTGACGTAGCTTTTGCCGCATGGGTCGGTTCCTGAGTTTACCACCCTTTTGGCTCGACCTCATCACTAATGTGCCGCCATGCTGAGAGGAATACAGGGAGCAGGGATATGAGGTGATTCATATCCCTGGTTCCTCCACACAATCTGCGGCATGCTCCTGAGAATGTAGGCCGGACGGAATTGCTGGTGGAGTTCAGACACACTACATGACTTGACCGACAGGAGAAGAGTGCTGTGTGTTCCCCTCCTGACAGTACTTGGACTTTGTGCCCACAGACACGCAGATACACAGACAAACAGATAAATACACATACACATAGATAGATACACATACAGACACATGCCGATACACAGATATACAAATACAGATACACATACAGACAAACATGCAGATACACGCACTGACACAGATACACACACACACAGATTTATACAAATAAACACACAGATACATACACTGATACACACAGATACACATACAGACACACCATTGCACATACAGACACACATACAAACACACACTGCGCTGACCGGGCCCCTGTGGACACATTACAATCGGGTGGCCGTAAGTGCATTGGCCACCCAATGGCCCTGTGTCAGCGTGTGGGCCCCCGCTGCCCTTCCAAAAAGTGACGCCTGGGGCAGACCACCCCTCTCTTCCCCCTTTTTTACGCCATTGTATGGGGCCATTCAGACTGCAAAATTCAGACATTGTTCACGCTATTCAACAATGTCCAGATTTTGCAATTAAGGCCCCAACAAATTTGATTTGTATTTCAGCCTGACCCAACACTGCAAGGCAGCTGAAATCCAGTCCTGAATGCTTCAAGTCTGGGCCCGGATGATTTAAATTTTGATTTAAAAAAACCAAAAAACTATTTGCCCGCTGCCAGCACTAGCAGCCACTGGATGAATAGTTGACACCTGGCAGCTCATGGGTTAATTATGTGGTGGCCAGTTGTCACATTAAATAATTAAAATACATAAATAATACCCTATGAGGGACAATAAGACCCCATATTACAATAAGGGAGGTTTAAAACCTCCCCATGCTCTCACCTACCATGTGGCAGGTAGGGGCATATTTATCTACTAGATATTTAAAAAAATAATGACTGGGAAGACACTTCTATCCAGTCACTATGAAGACCCCATCCTCCTTGTTGTTGTTTAGTTATTCAGTCATGTCCGACTCTCCGTGACCATATGGACCATAGCACACCAGGTACATCTGTCAGTCACTGCCCCTCTGAGCTCCAACAACTTCATGTTCATGGCTTCAGTGACCTCATCTATCCATCTCCGCCTCTGCTGTCCCCTTCTTCGTGTGCCTTCAATCTTTCCCAGCATCAGAGTCTTCTCTGGAGAATCCTGCTTTCTCATTATATGGCCAAAATATTTTAGCTTTAGCCTCATGATCATAGCTTCCAGTGAACAGTTTGTCTTGATTTCTTGTAGTACGGATTTATTGGATCTTCTTGCAATCTAAGGGATTCTAAGCAGTTTTCACTAACACCACAGTTCAAAGGCATCAATTCTACGACGCTCAGCCTTCTATATAGTCCGGACCTTTGTTGGTAGTGTAATATCTTTAGCTTTTACCAGCTTGTTCAAGCTTGCCATAGCTTTCCTCCCCAGAGGCAAACGTCTTTTAATTTCATGACTACAGTCACCATCTGAAGAGATCTTGGATCCCAGGAAAATAGAATCTGTCTCTGCCTCCACTTCTTCCCCATCTATGTGCCAGGAACTAAGATTGCTGTTTGCCATGATCTTAGTCTTTTTAACGTTAAGCAGCAAGCCAGCTTTTGCACTCATCAACAGGTCATTTAGTTCCTCACTTTCAGCCATCAGAGTAGTGTCATCCACGTATCTGAGGTTGTTGATATTTCTTCCAGCAGTATTGATTACAGCTTTGGATTCATCCAGCCCAGCCTTACATATTATGTATTCTGCATTTAACGTGAATAAATAAGGTGATAATATGCAACCTTGTCACACTCCTTTCCCAATCTTGAACCATTCTGTTGTCCCATGTTCTGTTCTGAATGTGGCTTCTTGGTCCACATACAGATTCCTCAGCAGGCGGATGAGATGATCTGGTACTCCCATCTCTTTAAGAACTTGCCATATGTTGTTGTCATCCACACAGTCAAAAGCTTTAGAATAGTCTATGAAGCAGAAGTAGATGTTTTTCTGGAACTCTCTGGCTTTCTCTATTATCCATCGTACATTGGCAATTTGATCTCTTGTGCCTCGTCCTCTGCGGAACCCAGCTCATACATCTGGTAATTCCCGATCCATATACTGTTTGAGTCGAGCTTGTAGGATCTTAAGCATTACCTTGCTGGCATGTGAAATTAGTGCAATTGTTCGATAATTGGAGCACTCTTTGGCATTGCCTTATTTTGGGATTGGGATGTAGACTGACCTTTTCCAGTCTTTTGGCCACTGTTGAGTTTTCCAAATTTGTTGACATAAGGCAAGCAGCATTTTCACAGCATAATCTTGCAAAATTTTTAATAGTTCAATTGGGATTTCATCAACTCCTGCAGCCTTGTTATCGGCAAGGCATCCTAGGGCCCATCTCACTTCGCTCTCCAAGATTTCTGGTTCCATCTCATTGGACCAACTATTGAGGTCATCACTGCTGTTAAGATCCTTCCTGTATAGATTTTCAGTGAATTCCTGCCATCTCTTCTTTATCTGATCTTCTTCTGTTAAGTCCCTGCAATTTTTGTCTTTTATCACACCCACTTTGGCATGAAAGGTTACTTTTAGATCCCCAATTTTCTTGAATAGATCTCTTGACTTTCCCATTCTGTTATCTTCTTCTATCTCTTTACATTGCTCATCGTAAAATGTCTCCTTGCTATCCTTTGGAATTCTGCATTCAATTGGACAGTTTTTTTCCGATCTGCACTACCTTTCGCTTTCCTTCTTTCCTGGGCTATTTTTACAGCCTCATCAGATAGCCAGTTTGCCTTCTTAGATTTCTTTCTTTTGTGGATATTTTTTCTTGCGGTTTCCTGGATAATATTGCAAACTTTGGTCCAAAGTTCTTCAGGCATTCTATCGTCCATGTCTAGTCCCTCAAAACTATTCTTTACTTCCACTGCATATTCACAAGGGATATTATTTATGTCGTATCTGATTGGACTGATAGTTTTCCTTCTTTTCTTCAATTTAATTCTGAACTTTGCAATGAGAAGCTCATGGTCTGAGCCACAGTCAGCTCCAGGTCTTGTTTTTGCTGACTGTATAGAGTTCCTCCATCTTTGGCTGCAAAGTATATAATCAATCTGATTTCTATATTGTCCATCTGGTGATGTCCATGTGTAGAGTCGTCTTGGAGGCTGTTGGAAGAAGGTCTTTGCTATGACCAGAGAATTATCTTGACAGAATTCTGCTAATCTCTGACCTGCTTCATTTTTAACTCCAAGGCCAAACTTGCCAGTTATTCCAGGTGTCTTTTGGTTCCCTACTTTAGCATTCCAGTCTCCTATGAGGATAGTAACATCTTTTCTTGGTGTCTTATCCATCATGTGTTGAATATCTTCATAGAACTGGACAATTTCAGAATCTATGGCTGGAGCATAAACTTGGATAACTGTGATGTTAAATGGCTTGCCTTGAATTGAAATCATTTTGTCATTTATTGGGTTGTAGCCAAGCACTGCTTTGCCCACCCAATTATTTACTATGATGGCTACTCTATTTCTTCTGCAGGATTCTTGACCACAGTAGAAGATGTGATGGTTGTCTTATATGAAATGTCCCATTCCAGTCCATTTGAGTTCACTAATTCCCAGGATATCAATGTTTAACCTTGTCATCTCATGTTTGATCGCATCCAATTTGACTTGGTTCATAGTTCTAACATTACAGGTTCCTATGTTAAATTGTTCTTTGCAGCAGCGGACTTTCCTTTCTCCTCCAAATATATCCGCAGTTGGGTGTCATTTCGGCTTTGGCCCAACTACTTAATTAGATCTGGTGCTACTCGTACTCGCCCTCTGCTCTTCCTCCATAATGCGGTAGGCACCTTCTGACCTGAGGGGCTCATCTTCCAGTACAATATCATTATGTCTCTGGTTGTCCATATAGTTATCTTAGCAAAGTTACTGGAGTGGGTTGCTAGTTCCTTCTCCAGTAGACCACGATTTGTCTGGCGCAGGAAACACGCAGCTGTGACAAAATTAAAAACAGAGAAAACACAACACAAAACAACAATTCACGAACAATTGGGGAGGGTGGGTGGGGAAAAACACTGCCAGGCTCCGTCAGCATTGTTCACCAGTAGTCTGGTAATTTTCACAGAATTCCCATCTTCAAACTGTAAACCAACTGTATCCATTTGTTTGCTATGCCAACCCCTCAGGGCAGCAGTCATGTTCCCTGTAACATATTCATCCTCACCTTGCGGTATCTGCGCTCAGCGGCCATGTGTCAGTGTACCCGACTCCTGCAAAATGTTGATGGACACCGGCTGCTGCAGATCCACACCAAATTATAGCCTCACATTTGCCCATGTTGATGACGATGTCGGCGTGCGTATGACGTCACGCGGGAGACACACACGCACCTTCTGGGGTCATAGGCCGATTTCGGCCAATCAGATTTGTAAAGGGCTTATTTAAACGCATTTTTACTTCTCCTCATTGCCTTGTTGTGGTTTCCCTTAGTGGTTGTCCGAGAGTGTGTTCCTGAGCGTTTATTTCAGGTTATTGACTTTGGCTTCGTTTTGACTTCCCTGTATTCTGGTATCCCTGAATTTTGGGCTTTCTCTTATCGTTATGTCCCATTCTGTTGTCCCCAACCTCAGCAAGTATTCTGACTATTCTTTGGTACGTTAAGTATGGCCATTCTAAGGCCCGGTAAGACGTTACTTTTTAGTCCTAGGTGTGATACAGTTCTATGTGCTGGATCAACTAGTAACCCAGACATTACGACATGGCCATAGATCCTGTAGAATTGTGTCAGCAGCTTGTGAGAGAAAGCTAGAGGAGAATGATCACCGTATGGATCAATTTGCCCAGGCTTTCAGTACACTTCTTACTCGATAGGCGCATTTACAGCCTGCTCTTTCTCCGACTATGTCACCTCTGCCTAATGTACTCCACCTTTAGTACATAAGGCACCTACTATCTACCTATCTCCTCCCCCGGGGATTCCTGAGTCAAATTGAGTATCATTTTGAGGCCTCGCCGGGATCTTTTCCCTCAGATAGAGCTAAGATTGGTTACCCAATGAATCAACTTAAAGGTAAAGTCTTAGCTTGGGCCAATCCGTTATGGGATAGTATCAGTATTGCACATAATTACCAGGAATTCCTTGCGGAATTCAAATGAACATTCAAACCATTAGGTAGGGAGGATGATGCCTCCACTGCCCTAATGCATATCAAACAAGGGAACCAGTCTATCTCAGATTATGCCATAGAATTTAACACCTTGTCTTCTGAGGTAGACTGGACTAATAGCGGGTTAATCTTTGCATGTAAAAAAGGATTATTAGAAGAAATTCTGGACGAGATTGCTGCCAAAGATCTTCCTAAAAAAATTAAAAGTTAATCACATTTGTCATGCAAATTGATAATAGATTAAGAACCAGAGAAACTACCAGAAATAGAACCCGACGTATGTCATTAGCACCCAATTTTTCAAGACCTATTGTTCCTGACCTCCCTGGACAGTCTGAACCCGAACCTACGCAGTTGTGGGTCACTAGACTGTCAGAGGCAGAAAGACAATATAGGGGAAAAGAGGGTCTATGCCTATACTGCGGTAGAAAAGGACATATGATGAGTTTTTTTTATAAACTGCAATAATTACCTTGCAGGGTTAAGTTCAGGGTTATGGTTACTATATATCAAGAAATGCAAAACCATGAGAAGCACAAAAATGTACCCAGCATTTCTACAATAGTTCAGTATTTTATTGTATCATGTAAGGGGCATTAACAGATATTTCAATCCTATTGAATCTTTATGATGCCTATATCATCATTGAATGTGCAATATAGCAAAAATATAGCATAAAACCTGTGATAAGAAATATACTGACACTGACCATGGTAGGAGATGGACGCTTAGTCCTGCGGTTCCCTCTCTCCCCGTGCTAAAATCTGCTAACATCCGCGGCCTCAGGCACCACAAGATAGCAAAAATGATACCCCTCGCAGCCTAGACCCGGGCACACCACCCGGGTATGGGAGGAATAAAAAAGAAGAAAGCAAATAACCCTTCCGTGGCCACGATCTTTCGATCGCAAAGTACACCTCGGCGGCCATCTTGCCGAACGGGAATGGCGAGCCCCAGCCTGGATTCGGACACTCCGGAGCATCAGCACGTAGCTGACCACCCTTTAACCAAAAGGGATCTCCAAGTACTCCTCTTGGACGCCACGGCTGACATTAAGGCACACACGGCTGCAGAACTAGACCGCCATATACAGGGTCTGAATGGAGACATAGAGGCCCTGGCACGACGTACCAACCAGGCCGAAACGCAGCTCACAGCCCTGGCAGAATCCTCTCGGACCCACTCCCAAGATCTAACCTACCTCCATGGGAAGATTACATCCTCAGAGGAGGAATTGGAAGATTTAAATAATCGATCGAGACGAAATAACATCCGGGTCCGGGGCCTTCCTGAGTCGGTACCCGGTGACCGCCTACAAGCAACACTACTGGGGCTGTTCCGGTCCTTGCTCCCGGAGGCTGTGGACAGGGACCTGGAGATGGATAGGGCCCACAGAGCACTCCGGGCTCCGGCCCTCAGCCCTGACACCCCTAGAGATGTCATTGTCCGATTGCACAGATTCCCCATCAAGGAGCAGCTCCTCAGAAAAGCGCAGCAAAATCCGCCATCTTACCTGAACTGCAAGCTGGCTTTCTTTCAGGATCTGGCACCCCTGACACTCAAGAAACGCCGAGACCTCAGACAGCTCACACTGACCCTCACTCATCACGGCATCAAGTATATGTGGGGCCACCCGTTCAAGTTGGTGGTCCGCAAAGACGAGCAGACCCACGTTCTCTACCACGCGACGGAGATGGCCCCCTTTGCGGCCTCCCTGGGCCTGGAACTCTTGCCTCCACCCTCACAACTCCCACGGAGGCCTGGGGGGGGACCCGGAGGGGCAGCCAGGGCGGATGAACGCACCCCTCGTCACACACCACGGAGGAGAGTGATGACGGCGGGAGGCAGCCCCCGCAGACCATAGGAGGCCTGTACTGACTTTCTTTCCCAGAGCGGAGGTGTGGTTGGCGCGGCCCTTCGGGCCCTTCTTGAACTTTTTGGTTTCCTCATGCTGCTCACCTGGACAGTAAGACCCGGTGGGGGGTGGGAGGCCACTCGGGTCGGGTAGTCACAGCAGCAGTGCCACCGGGGACGCGGGGGGCGGGCCGGGCTGCCGGGCTCCCACGGGGGGCAGGGGAATGTGAGCTGGGGATCCCGGCGGGCTGCGGAGCCCTACCCCCCCTCCCGGGGCTGTAGGGGTTTGGGGGGTCTGGCCGCAGGGGGTTGGGGTTCACCACTATCACTGCTCGCGTTGGCGGGGCGGCCTGGGGGGGTGTGTGGGGCTCTGGGCCGGAGGGGGTAGAGGGGACTTGCCAGGCTACTTTCCCCAAGACAATTCACTGCAGCATAAGATGTTCTAGGTTGTAGACTAGGTGATCTTACGCAGCCTCCTCCCCTCCCTAGGCTAGATCTAAAGGTGTTTATGTACTCCGACATTCCATAGGGGTTTACGAGACGGTATGGTAGGGGAACCAACGGGTTCACCCAGTGATAGTGGGTCTTGGGACAGGTTATACGGTGAGAGGTGGTCTCCCCGGGCATAATTATACCGCATACGCTCTCAGACAACCTGACTGGGGGGGAAGCCTGGGTGACATAGGGCTTGCACGAGTTATTAGGCATATATGTCCAGGTACGATACGGCAAGGGGGGACACCCGACTTAGCTGACGCATGCCGGATGGCTCGTGCCGGATGGTGGTGACAAGAGGACGTTGACGCCCCCCGCTTCTGGGAGACTCTGAGTCAGTCATAGCTCCCCAGTTATCGATGTATATAGTTGCCCGCACGGTAGTGCGCAAAGTTATTATGGGTTAACGTTAGGCTAATTTCCGGTGCCAGGAATATCTCATTAATTGGCAGCGGGGAGGGGGGGCTGATAGTTGTGGCCCATCTCTTCTCTCACACCCACCCCTTTACATCTCATTTGATTAGACCCCCACATTGGGGCACCGACCCCGCATATTTTACCGCAGGGTCCCTTCACCCTCCTGGCTTGGCACTCTTAGTTTAAGCCCAAGCCTCTCTGCACTAATCTTAGCCCCAACCGGGGCTTGCTTGTCCCTCTCACCCTCCCCCTTTTCCCTGGACAGGGGGATTCCCCGGGTCTCCCTCCTTGCCCGCCAGACGCTTCCAGGACGGCCCATGGGGGATCCGGCCAACCCGGTGGGTGCGGAGCCTCCTGGGGCGAGACGCCCGCTCGCGTTAAAATGCGTCTCGATCAATTGCAAGGGCCTGAATAACCCGGCCAAAAGACACCGCGTCCTCTGATGGGCCAACAGAACTGGGGCGGACGTCGTCGTCCTCCAGGAAACTCACTTTGTACAACAGAAAGCTTTCCCTCTACGCACCAGACACTACACGGACTACCATCTCGCGAACTCACCCTCGGGCAGACATAACGGGGTAGCGATCTTGGTCCGTAAATCCTGCCCGATTCACTTTAGCAGCACGGTCGCGGACCCCCTGGGGAGATACTTAACCATCACGGGGCAACTAGGCTCACACAAGTATGCCATCACGTCAGTCTATGCCCCCACGAACCCGTCAGCGCAATTTTGGAGCCTGCTCCAGGCGCACTTGGGCCTCTTCCCCTCCCACCATGTTATTCTGGGGGGAGATTTTAATGCGGTATCAATCCCCGACCAGGACAGACGGCGACAGCCCCGACTGGACCCCCACCAAACATCTATGGCGAAAGCCGATAAGCTTTTTCAGTCCTTCCTGACAACAACACAACTAGTGGACGTCTGGCGCGTCCAACACCCCATGACAGCAGATTTTTCCTTCTTCTCACACCCACATACGTCATACTCCCGAATCGACATGTTCCTGACGTCCCCGTCACTGATACAGTTTATAGACAGAACACTCATCGGCCAGATTACGTGGTCTGACCATGCTGACATTACACTTTGTGTGCAGCTTCCACAGGCTGTTAGGCCATGGACCTGGAGATTGAACCCCACGCTTCTCCACGTCCCACATATACAAGATAAAGTCAGGGGAGATATCCAAAGCTTCTTTGATAGTAACAAGGGCTCAGTGGCCTCGGATAGTACGCTGTGGGCGGCCCATAAGGCAGTAATTAGGGGAATCCTAATAGCGGAAGCAACGGCACACAAAAAACAAAAGCTGGCACAATTAGCACATCACCTCTCGGAACTTGGCAAGGCAGAGCGCCTTCATAAACAAACCCCCACCCCCGACCTTTTAAGGCAACTCCAGATACACAGACAAGCCATAAAAACATTCATGGCCCAAGACTCCAAAAAAGCACTTCTCTGGACCAGACAAATGTTCTATGAGAAGTCTAACAAAGCAGACTCCCTTCTGGCAAACAGACTACGACGTAAAGCAATACGCAAACGCATAGCCACGATCAGGGACCCGGATGGGCGCACGCACGATGACCCGACTCAGATAGCGGAATTATTTCACCGATACTACGCCGCACTTTACGATCATGACCCACGCGCTAGGCAGGACACGCACACCCCTGTATTAAAAGCAGAGGGCTTCCTGAGAGATATACCCCTCCCACAGCTTACGGCAGAGGCTAGGGCTACATTGGCGGCGCCCATCTCGATAGAAGAGGTCGCAGAGACGATTAAATCTCTCCGACCTAACAAGTGCCCTGGCCCGGACGGTTTCTCGGGGCTGTATTATAAAACATACTCGGCGATCCTGCTACCACACCTCAGAGACCTATTCACCTCCATTTGCAAAGGGGAGGCGATAACCCCGGACATGTTACAAGCCAACATAAGTTTGATACCGAAACCAAACAAAACCCACCTAGACCCCGGACATTACCGTCCCATCTCACTCCTTAATGTGGACATAAAATTATTCACCAAACTTCTGGCAAACAGATTACAAGCACATCTCCCAAAATTGATTCACCCAGACCAAGTGGGTTTCATCCCACACAGACAAGCCAGTGACAACACCAGATGCACATATGACTTGATTTGGGCAGCCACTCGCAAACAGACCCCCACATTGCTGCTTTCCCTTGACGCTGAAAAGACTTCGTTCGACCGCATATTGTGGCCATACTTATTCGCAACGTTAGAAAAATTTGGACTACCCAATGAGTTCTTGACGGCAATCCGCAACTTGTACTCCTGTCCGACAGCATGCCTACTTATACCAGGCGCCCCATCACTCCCCTTCTGCATATATAATGGCACACGGCAGGGTTACCCCCTTTCCCCCCTCCTCTTTGCCCTGTCCCTCGAGCCCCTCCTCCACATGATAAGACTCAACCCCAATATTAAAGGTCTGACGGTGCGACGGGAGGAATACAAAATAGCGGCCTATGCGGACGATCTGCTCCTGACATTGACGGACCCGGACACCTCCCTACTCCCCCTGCTAAACCTTTTAGAGGAATACGCGGTGACATCGGGATACAAACTGAATCTAGACAAGACTGAGGCGATGGCACTGTGTATTCCCCCCGGAGTAGACAAGTCCCTACGAGAAAAGTACCCATTCTGTTTTCGACCTGATGGAATTAAATATTTGGGAGTATACCTACCCTCGGACCTCAACTCGAGGTACCGACTGAATTTCCCCCCACTGATTGAACAGGCCAAAAAAGATCTGATGGATTGGCAAAAGCTATCTATCTCATGGTTGGGCAGGATTGCCTCAGTGAAAATGAACTTGCTTCCCCGCTTCCTATACCTGTTTCAAACCCTCCCAATCCCGATCTCAAAAACAGATTTTAAATCCCTGCAAACGCAGATAGATAAATTTATTTGGGGGGGTGGGAGGGTCAGGGTGAAACGGTCCACACTATATATCCCGCATAAGAAGGGGGGCTTGGGACTCCCGAACTTATGGGAGTATCACCAGGTGGCCCAACTGGCGCAGATCCAGACCCTTCATGCACCGGCGGGGGTAAAGCTTTGGGTGGACTTGGAACATGATCTTTTCAGCAGAGACCACCCATCGCTATACTTTTGGGTGCCGAAACACTACCGACCGGAGTTGCCCCAGACCACGCCGGCCCTGCAGACGTCCCTAAAAATCTGGGACAGGGTAACTCGTAAGCACGACCTTGTACACATGCCCTCCCCGCTAACTCCTGTGCTAAGAAACAACCAATTCCCCCCAGGGATGGCACCCCGGCATTTTGTTCACTTTGAAGATAACGACCTAACCAGAATTTGCCACTTTTTCCGAGACACCCACTTCCTCTCATTTGCAGATCTGCCGCAAACCACTCCCCTTAACACATTCGATCACTTCCGCTACCTTCAGCTGCGTAGTTTCCTATCCGATCCAACCATCAAGGCGGCGGCGACGGCACCGCCCACACACTTTGAAAAGCTGTGCCAACACACACCCATTCAGAGAGGACAAATCTCCACTCTTTATAATGTTCTAGCTAAAAATGCCCCTCCAGAGGCTTTTGCGTATGTGAGAGCTTGGGAGAGGGACCTGGGCCCCCCGAGCGACTCCTCGGACTGGGCGGCTATATGGGAGGCCACGGCCTCCGTTACAATTTGCGTAAACCATAAGGAGCAGGCTTATAAAACCCTACTTCGGTGGTACATTACCCCCTTGAAACTCAAACAGATGCGCCAGACAAATTCTGATCGCTGCTGGAAGGGATGTGGGGCGCAGGGCACCTACCTTCATATGTGGTGGGATTGTGTGCATGTCTCGGGGCTGTGGAGGGAGATTGCGGAACTCACCTCCAGAGCATTGCAGACGGATCTCCCATTGGATCCGTGGACATGGTTGCTCTCCAAACCCATGGAGACCCTTCCCAGGGCACAAAATAAATTGGTGGCAAAGATAGCGCTGGCAACGAGGAGGGCGATAGCAGCCCATTGGGGCAGCACAGACCTACCGACCACGATGGAGGTACGGAAGAAAATAGAGGAATCTAGAGAAATGGATGATCTGTCTGCCCTGGTTCACGAAACAACCAATTCGGCCCGGAAGATATGGGGCCCCTGGGATGCGGTTTAGCATTGGCGGGCGGGGACTGGGGACCGGGGGGTCCCTTGGCTCTCCGAAAACGCTTCCTTCCCCAATTACCCCTAACGGAAGCTTTCTGTAAGTCCCTTGTACCCTATACCCCCATTGCCTTGACACGACCCTATCTCAGTGCGAACTGAGCCATCGGAGACAACACTATTGCTCTACCACCCGATAACCTGGCGGAGGTATAAGCAACAAGCAGATCGAAACCTTTACAACTGGACAAACACCTGGCCAGGTTGTCCCTCTCAAATTCCTACATGTTGAAAGCTCTATCCTTGACTTAGTTCACAGAGCAATAGGCAAAGAGACACGCACGCGGACCTAACTGCTCCAAACACACACTCAGACGAGTTAATTATATGTATCTGTGCATACTTACACGTCCAATATTTTACACTGGGGTTGGGAATAGGTTCACTTTTGACAGCCTCCTCATATGGGAGGGTCACAGCACCCTTGAGGCTGGGACTGCTCTGAACGCTGTAATACGAATGATGTTTGCACTGTGAATTGTTTTCCCCAAACCCTTCCCCCCTTTCTTTTTTCTGTACCCCTCTTTAAACCTGAACATTTTCAAAATAAAGAATTTATAAAAAAAAGAAAAGCAATATACTGACACAGTATATTGAGTGAATATTGCTATAGACTAACTACAATATAATAATTCCAGATTCCAGCAGACCATTCTAGTTGCCCATGTCTGTTTTTTGCTGCAGTCTGGTATTAAAGTTGTGATAAACTAGTACAGTAATGTAAACATGACCTAGTGGCACTTTAATGATGCACATAGGTAGCAGGATTATTTCTATACAAACAAACAAACAAACGCCTTTATATGTGTTGAATGGACAAACAGTTTATGTGTATTCTAAACAGAATGAGTAGGTTGTTATATAAAAAGGAATGATAACAGCACAGAAACAAATATTTTTTTCCTGGATTTTGAAAACAGTATACCAAAGACATATATATAACTCAACAATTGCACAGCTTGTGGGGGTAATTATCTAAACTGTTTTTTTTGATCTGTTCATTAAAAATGGGGTAGTCTGGGGAAAATAGTTAAAATAGAAAGTTAATATTCCAGGTAGGCGGGCTATTGATTATCCACTCTCGTATTCCTCTATCCCCAGGGCTGTTGACCATTATACTATTAACATGTTCACATCACCTCAATTGATGTGAGGTCGGTGACGATTTATTAATAACCCAGGATCTGATCATTTTACAGATCCCATATTTACACAAAGTGAACTGCTTAAATACCCATATTCCTTTATTACTGTTAATTACTGTGAAAACCTGCATTATCTGGAACAGTAACAAATTGGACAAATTGAAACAGATAGGATTATAGATTATTCCCAAACCTGGACATGGGGATTTTCATGGCTAGTCCCCTACCCTTAAACACTGGAGATGCTCTGGACAATGACTTAAAACAAACTTGGAAACTGGAAAATAGTTGACTGTACCACCTATCACACTTCGTCAGCTGATCTTTAAAGGCTTTCTCCAACCCTTTATCATTTGTGAAAGAACAATACCCTATTAGGTATAAATCTATCCTTTGCTCCTACAAAAAAAAAGCCAAACAAAACTGCCCTGGCCAATCAGCATCTCCTCATAGAGATGCATTATATCAAAGAAATCGCTAATGAAACAGAGAGGGGTATTTTTCTAAACCCCTACATACTTATTAACCCAGCCGTTCCCAAAGGGTGTGTACGATTATAGCACCGGGGAAACATTACTACTGAACAGTGGCCCGGTCAGGTGCCGCGGTCCTTTAAGGCCGCGACCGGGCACCTGTAATGTTAGCCGACTGGAAGGAAGTGACAACCTGGAGGAAGGGGGTTAAACACTCACCTTTCTCCAGCGCCGGGCTCCCTAGGCACTAGGGACTCTCCACCTCCTTCGGTCGTCATCGGCTGAATGCACATGCACGGCAAGAGCCACGCGCACATTCAGCCAGTCCATAGGAAAGCATTCTCAATGCTTTCCTATGGACGCTGGCGTCTTCCCATTGTGAAAATCATAGTGAGAAGTGCGGAAGCGCCGGTCAATGAGACATGGGGGTATTCCTGTACTCAGATGACATAGCTAAGCAACATATGAATTATACAGCCGTAGCACACAAGGTTTGCAAAATATACTGTGCAAACTCACTTAGTGTGTGAAAATGGCAGAATAAAATGCTTAATACCACTACACTTTGCACAAGCTAGCGGAAAAATGATCCCAAGCCAAGGTTCAAAATACACATTTTGAAATACCCTGGGAAGTCTTTAAGAAATGGTATGCCTTTATGTGGTAGTTGGAATTTGTAGCCTGCTAAAATACTCCGAAATGTGACATGGACACAGCATAAAAATTCAAAGTAAAAAAAAACCAAAAAAAAAAAACTTTGAATGGCTGTCTCAAATGTGCCCCTTCAACACCCACACATTCATGGCAAAGGTACATACAAGTGGGAGACGGACCCATCAACACCATCTATGAAAATTCAGAGTTAAAAACCTGAGCTCTTTTACAGCACTAACTTCACAAAAAAGTGTCTAGGTCATACATTGTGCATATTGTTTTACTCAGAAAATGTAACTGGGCATAATTTTCGGGATTTTATGACAGTAGTACAGATAACGTGTAAGAAATACCAAACCAAAACATATATGTAAAAAATTTTCCCCCCTCACCACAAACATTGACATACACTGGTGAAAAAAAATGGTGACAAGTTAAGGCACAACATACGCCATATAAAATACCCTGGAGTGTCTGCTTTCTCAAATGGAAACCCTTTGTTGGGTTATTTGAACAGTCAAACTGCTATAATACCCCAAATTGAGACATAGACCCATCAAATCCATCTATGAAAATTATAACTAGAGAAACTGAAATAGTTTTGTCTCTTATATGGCATTGCAGCACTAAAAGGCATACAATGGTGTATCATTGTACTCAGCAGATGTAGCTGACCACAATATGTGTACAGGGATAGCATACGCCAGCTTTACAAAATACACATTACAAAAACCTTGTTATATGTGTATATATCCAAAATAGAAGGGGGGACAAAACAATTTTACTCCAATATTTAGCAGATGTTGGCGATGAAATGGCCAAGTAAAAAGTGTCAAAATAACCACGGGTAAATAGCCTGTGATGTCTACTTTATATTTATAAAATATGGCAATTTTGTTTTTTGTGATGCTACTAAACTTACACTACAAACATGCCAACTTCTAAAATGGTTTCCCATTGAAATTTTATTTTTGTCCTTGTATTTTCTGACCTGTAATTTTCAAAATAAGATGAAATCCAATACACATTATGTAGTCTATAAATCTAGGCACATAAATGAGTTTATTTTGAATTACTTTTCCTAAACTGGACATATCATGCACACAGTATTGCATAAGCTGTGGAAAGAAAAGGTTTTTTTTGTTTCTTTTATAATTAATGAGAATTTATATGTGACATCGAATTTCAAGCCTCTGTCATCTAAAAAAAACAAAACCCCAAATATGTAAATATGCGTTGGTGCAATAAATGAGAAAGATGCAGATTGCGGTTGAACACAAGCAGCAAAAAAATTTAATAAAAATACTTGTCCTTAAGGGTAAGACAAGCTTCTGAAACTGTGTCCTTAATAGGTTAAGTTTTAAATGTTTTTATTTTAATTGGGATGTTTCCATGAGTTAACTTTTTCAAAATTGAGTCCATCATAAACTGCAGACTTTTGTAATTATTGATTATATTAGAATTGGCCACCATCTGCCTGCTAATTAAACTGGATTTTAAAAAAGGATATTGTACCCCACCTGTAAAAACAATATTTACAGAAGGTGCCATTGTATCTGTGGTCTAGATTTGAATGTGGCATTGGTCCCATCAATTTACATGAGTGTTTGTAAGCTTGCCTTGACACTTGCAGGCAGTTGAAAGCACCACTCTTGTTCTTTCAAACTTCACATAGCACCAAATGAATAGGTACCTGGAGTGCAATAACCATTTTTTTATTCTGTGGTTACCTCACGTCTTACTTTAACACATTTATTCACTCTGACACTTCTCTTAATTTATGTAATATTCCTAACACTAAATCATAAACTAATTTGAACATGGGCCTTATCTCTTGATCCATCTGTTTTAAATAAATACTCTTACATATTGGAATTTATAAAAGGTAAATGTTAAATCCTGATAATCTAAATAGAGCGGTACATTTGGAATGCAGCAGATTATGTTTGGTACATTGTAGGATATGTTGCACATACCTATATCCAAATACCATTTGTAACGATTGTACTGGATGATAAAAATTAAATATGTTTATTCACACATTTATCATAACGCAAACCGATCCAGGTATATTTGATCAATGAATTCCAACGTGTAGAGAATACAGAACGAACAATCTCAGAATATTCTGTAAACACCCAGAGACCACTATGGTAATTCAGAAACTTTCACATATTTTAATGTGTAAGAAATACAAGAGCCATATTTTGTAGAAACTGCACAGTTTTTTTTATTGGTTGACATGGTTACTCCTGCATTTTCTCTATAGTTTCCTCCTTGTATTTGCCCTTCTCTTTGCCAACCTGGCGAGACTTAGCCTTGCGTTCCAAGATCTTCTTGCGATCCTTGTCAAGCTTTAGTCTTGTGATCACCACCTGTCAAGAAAAATGGGAACATATTTAGAGAACCTTATATTTTTAGTTTTAGAGAGGAGTCAGCAAAGTAGGCACCATATATTAGATCATGAGCAGCACCCATTCGTACACAACAAAAAAACTAAAAACCCAACCACATAGGCCAAAACAAAGAGTTACGTACATTTTTTACTTTGCAAATAGGTAACTGTTACAATGTCATACTCAACACTATCTTAGACAATTATATTAAAGACAGTACGGGCACAGTAACAACGTTATTGGAATTAAATTATTATGATGCGAGGAGTTCAAAGCGTCAGGTTATCTAAAGTGTTTGAACGGTCAATGAACAGTTTAACCCAAAAAGGTAAACAAATCGGGAAGCCCCAGACCACACGTCGCTGATCGGTTGAGTCAACACACAGCAGCTCCCCATTCACAAAAGAGTGAAACAGGTATAATTTTTTTTGGCCCAGTTCTGTGAATGGCGAGTTATGAATATACATAACGCATGAGCCAACACTCTCAGCCTTTCCGTAGGGCCCAGTCTGAGGCTTCCAATCGGTAGTTGGATTGAAGCAATTGACTGCTTAGCCCATTCTGGTAAGCAGGCACCCAGGACCTCTTTGGAGCATAACAATTTAATTTGGATGATTTAAAATCAAGCATCACAAAGATTCAGTCTGCTGCTATTATACAATTCTTCAGTGCCAGACTAACTTGGTATGGAAGGGACAGCAGACTATATAAAGATTTGTGTTCAACAAATACTATTAATCAGCTGTAGTCAGTGCAAATCAAGGAGCATACTGAAGATTGTGTTTCTGTGGTACAGCAGAATGAATCAAAGACTGCAATAAATATGGTATAGAATGACAACTATAATGACCCTTGCCATTGTTTCTATTTAACACTAAGGACCACATGTTATGCCTAGGCATAAAAACATTTAGTATGTAAAATTGTAGCATTACAACTGGCCAGCATAATGTACTTCATCTTGAGACTATCAACCGGCAACATGCACGTTATACAATATAGTACTCATAAAGGGATCTTATAGTGCCAAGATAAACCCGTTTTCATGGCACTATAGGCTGCTAGAGGCAGCCCATGGGGCTGAATAGGGTTAAAACACCATCTACTTACCCGAATCGAGCGCTGATGTCCCTCGGCACTGGGTCAGGCTCCCCCCACGCCGAAGGAGATCTAATGCACATGCACAGCAATGGCCACGCACACATTAGACCTCCCCATAGGAAAGCACTATTTAATGCTTTCCTATAAGGAAAATCTGACGCTGGAGGTACATGAGGACGTCCGGCGTCAGATAACGGACCAAAAATCTGTTTGGATTCCGGAAGCCCTCTAGCGGCCGTCTGGTAGACAGTCACAGAAGGTAGACTTAGAGCTGCAATGTAAACATTGCAGTTTCCCTGGAGCTGCACTGTTTTACGTTGCAGCACTAAGTGCAAAAGGGTCACAGCACCCAGACTACTTCAATTAGCTGAAGTGGTCTGGGTGTCTACAGTGTCCCTTTAAATGGACCAAAACCAACTCTTGACAAGTAATCTGTTCAAGTCAGGGATATCTGTGTGCCTAATTACAACTATTTCTAATATATACACACACACAGTATCTCAGAGTTATAAACATATCCAGTTTGGCTATTTTGGCCACTACTCACTCCAACCCAGTTCAAAAAGATGTAATACAAAAAAAAATTTTCTTCAAAATGAAAGATACAACTGGGCATTTTCCCAGAAATCTCTGAAATGCAAGTTTAAAATGATCTAATTTAATTTTATATGGAAGACTAAAAGCTTGCAGCACAGAGATGTTCCTTATAAAATACTAAATCACCCCTTGGAAACTTCTTGGTGTTTATGAAGAGAAAAAAAAAAACACAAACCCACAACCAACAAAGACTGTCCACTTCAAACCACATTTATGTGCACAATCCCGAAAAAACATTTAATATCCTAATCCCACTGTCGAACTGAGAAAGGTCTCCATGTTACACCATGACATACAAATCTATACCATTAAATGGGGAATACAACCTTCTAAATATTCCTCAGGGGTTATTTATTTCAAGAGATCAAAATAACAAAAACTCCAAAATAATTGAACTATGCAGAACCATTCACAACAATAAAGTTGGTATACTGCCATCACATACATTCTTACATACTAAACCACACATGGAACAAATACACCAATTAAACTCACTGTTGAAGATTCAGCTTTTAGTTGGTTAGCTAAAACAACCTACTATACCTTGACCACCCCAAGAAAGCAACCAAAGAGCCAACCATAACCACTAGAAGCCAAGGAAGTTACTTGCCCCTGTAATGGTTATGTTTCTTAGAGCTCCCACTAAAGTTTCAAAATATGGCTTCTTGCTATAGCAAGAACATTTTACACTAACATTGTAAGTCATTTTTTAATTAAAAACCAAGGACCACATGAATATGAAATATAAATAATCTGACTGTAGCTTTCCTGGTTAAATACTTTGTTGTTATTATTGTAGTGGTTATGGAGTCAGGAGAAACCTGAAGCCCTATAACAGAGTAGTCAAACTGTTTAAGAATGGTTCTTGTGCTGAGTGGCCATCACCACTTCCTCTGGATGCTCTACCACTGGCAAGCTCTCAGTCAGGAACGGATTTAATTCAGTGGAGCTAACAAAGCTTACAAAGAGCTTCCAGCTAGACCCCAGGTAAATTGTCAAACTGTTCTTAAAACGGTTAACTACTTACTGTGGTAGGCCACCACAACAACATGTGTCTGTAGTTGTTATGGTGGTTGGAATGTTCCTTTTAATTAAACAAAAAACGAGTTTGGTTATGGAGTAGAACTTTTACAACATTTAAAAGGAACCTAGTTAGTCTTCCTCATCTGAAATAATTGCATCTACTTTTATCCCAGACATGCTAACCTCGCTTGTTGTAGTTTGCATGCAATTCTACACTCCCTACCTTGACACCGGACTAATCATGTAAACCTAGTTTATCCTCTCTTGTGCATATCTACTTTAAATCACCTAATCCGACATTTGCCTAGCCTGATTTATGATCTACAAAAATTGTCAAAAATAAAAGATTGACAAAAAAAATATAAAAAAAATATGAAGTTACACTAGAGTCAGGAATACAAGCATGCATTCATAAATCTATAGTGTTAACTGTTTAACGACCCCTTCAGATAACACAAAAAAGTAATTTTAGTCACCTTTTATCCTTTGCCATGGCTGGCCCCTCCTCTTTGGCTGAGAACAATAATCTTCCTCCCATAGGAAAGCATTGGGAGACTATTTCGCTGCAAAACGTTGCGCTGTGCTAATCAGCACCTCCTCACAGAGATGCACTGAATCAATACATTTCTATGGGGTGCGTGGAAGCACTCAACGTAGAGCTGCACACTGTAAAGGCAGTTTTACATTGAAAAGCCTGAAAGGACAATACTGTAGTCGTCTTGGTGACTATAGTGTCCCTTTGAGAATCACTTCCATATCCATGCTTGATATGTGACATTCACAGTGACACCACACGCACATAACCACATTAATATGTCTACATAATGTTCCTTATCTGCAAACTGATTTTCAACCCCTTCATTAAGGAGGGAGCCTTAAAGGTATTCTCCAGTGCCAGGAAAACATGTTTCCTGGCACTGCAGGACCCTTCCTACTCCCACCCCAAGTTGCTGAAGGGGTTAAAAACCCCTTCAGTGACTTACCAGAGTCCAGCACCGATGTCCCCCGGCGCTGGGTCAGGCTCCGCCCACTCTCCTCCCAGTCGACTTCAGCCAACGGGGGAGACCAAATGCACATGCGCGGCAATGGCGCATTAGACATCCCCATTGGAAAGCATTACACAATGCTTTCCTATGGGGATTTCGGCGAAGCTGGAGGTCCTCACATAGCGTGAAAACGTCCAGAGTCGTTTTAAAACACGGAAGTCCCTCTAGTGGCTGTCTAGTAGAAAGCCACTACAGGAGGCCATAACCCAGCAATGTAAATTTTGCAGTTTATGAAAACTGCAATAATTACACTTGCAGGGTTAAGGGTAGTGGGAGTTGGCACCCAGACCACTCCAATTGGTAGAAGTGGTCTGGGTGCCTGCAGTATCCCTTTAATAAAAATGTCTCCGATAAAATTTGTATCACAAAGAGAACATTTTCCCCTAATGTTATACCACCTCTCTGCCGATTTCCATTTTGAACAGCTGAACTCCATATGTATTAAAGAGTTACTCTAGTGATTTGAAGTGGTCATGGTGTCTGGAGTATGTAGGTGCAGTGTTCCACTATGAAATACATGACTATTGTTAGGTTTACAAATAGCTTGCTAATCATACTAATTCAAACTAACACCCATAGTTTCGGCAACAGCATCCTTTTGTTTTCAGTGCATTAGCTACCCTATACATAGATCTCAGGTATGATCAGTCCATTCCCTTTTAGATTATAGACTTGAACAGGGCTCTGAATCCTACTGTCAATTTCAGACAAGGTAAATTACACAGTGTGCTCATACTCTGCAATGGAGATTTGTTGATACTTTATTAATCATAACCCTTACTAGGAATGAGTTTTTACATAATAAATATAAAAATCCATCTTAGTAAAATTTCACTTTAGCCCACAAAAATAACAGTGGCTTTCACGGTGGAATACCCCATATGATGACAACTTTTAAATTCATTAGATTCCTGAGTGTCTCAGGTGATAAGAGTTGATAACTCCAGTATACAACTCTCAGCAAAGCATGCCCTGTTAATAAGACATGTTGCCTTCGACTTTGTATTTTCAAAATAAATATGTTTTAAAGAGCAGGAGTATAGGATTTTCTATGTTTGTCATTTATATTGCATTTTCCTTTTATGCCACAAGTAAATCCATAAAATAAATAAATGGACAATTGTATGACCTACCTTGCTGGGGTGAATACCGACATGAACTGTGGTGCCATTTGCTTTTTCACGCTGCACGCGTTCAATGTAGATGACGTATTTCTTTCTGTACACCTGGACTACTTTACCAATTTGCTGGCCTTTGTAATGTCCGCGAACAACCTAAAGAATAGAGGCAGATATTAACATCCGAACAGAACTTTGCACAACCAATAATATGTGAAATTATCATGTTCCATCCGTTACTGAGGTGCAAAATCACAAAGAACAGGCACCGCTCCATGTAGATGGATTAATATGTCTCCCCATTAAAAGCCCTTTATACATTAATATTTGTATAAAGGGAAAGTCTCAAGAGGAGAAATAAAACTAATATTTACAAAATTTTAAATCATTCACAGACAAATTGTTGTACAAAATGTTAGAATGTATTATTTGAAGAAACATGCCAGGTGCAATATGCAGATTAAGTACACCATTAATTCAAAATATTTTTGTCCAAGGCTGAATGATTTGCACTAGAGTGCAAATGTGCAATTTAACAAAACACACTTTTAGCCTTCATATACACACACACTCTTACCTGAACTTCATCATCTTTGCGGATAGGCATGGAGCGGACATTGTATTTCTGCCTCAGCTCTTTGGAGAGGGGAGAGGACATGATCTTCCTTCGCACATGAGATGGCGCATTGAAGTGCCTTTTGCGGTTCTTGCTACGGTCAGAGGTAACAAACGGACTGAACTTCATGGTGACTAAAGAGGATAAAAGCAATAGTTATTACAAAAATAAACCCACGTAACCCATACGTACATAAATACCTTAGACTAAACATACCAAATTAAGCCATGCACTCAAACTCCCACTACTTTTTTTCGCCTCTCTCTTTGGTTTTTAGTGTATATTGGGGCTGTGCTATAGTCATTGCTGTTACCCAGAAGAAGTTAGAGTTTAAGCACATGGCTTAATTTTGTAGGTTAAGAGCAATGCCTACTCCTGGCTCAGCGATTATCAAAAATCAACCAGACTATCCAATGCTCTGTAAAAACACACTCAGATAAATAAAATATGCATGGATGAATTAGTTTCAAAAGAGTCTATTAAAGTAAAACACACACAAACACAGACTATGAACTAATTATAAAAACACTGGCAAGAACATTATGATAAAGACAGACTGGCAAAGTTAATTATAGGATACAAAACAGATACAACAATCATGACATGTAACAGACTATAAAATAACTTTATTACATTTATACAGCACAGACTCAAACACTATATGTTCCTGGATTCATATCATTTACAAGCGTTCCCCGTACTAGATTAAAGAATTCTGCAGGATCCCTCAATGATTAAAGACTCCAGCAGCCCATGAACGGTACACAACACAACCCATTCCATGTGCTGCCTGGCTGTATAAGTCTAGTGAGACATGGTGGTTATGGTACCCCCCCCCCCTCTGTCATTTTATGTCCCCTGTGATCTGAATGGTGTGTCTGCCTGTTACACTGGACCCAGTATTGTGTATCAGTCACACTGTTTGAGCAGCTGGCAGTAACCAGGTCAGAGCACTGGCAGTAAGCACCCTGTCCATACAGTCCCAGGCGCTACCCTGCAGGCAGGGCCCGGGCTCAGAGCGATGATCCGGCTCCCCGCACATTAAACCCCTCATGTTACCACTGACAGCCCCAATATCCCAGCTACTGAAAGGCCACGGGTCCGCTCTAAACGCTCATAACGTGAAAGACGGGAATCTCGGCCCTACAGGGCAGGATGGAAGCGGATTGAACATTTAATATATCTCCAGAGCTCCTTACCCAGCTGCTCAGTCCACTATGGCCGCCGGAAAAGAGAAAGAGGAGCTACTTCCGTTCGCATTAGTCGGGCGACGAGATCTCGCGACAAGAGGTTTGACTGCGGGAGGGTGGGGGGGGAACTTGACAACGATCGAAGGTGAGAAGCGTAGCGACCCCTGGCGGCGCCAAATAAAAACGTCTTCTGTCTTCATTCACTGGGATATTCATTTAAAAAAAATTAAAAAAAGTAAATCTTCAACACTAACTCCAATTTTGTGATTTGAAATCAGAATGGCAAAATTTAGGCTAAATTAGGTAAATTGGAATAATTCTCTAACTGCGTTATAAGCATACTTTGACTATTTTAGGCTACGGCGCTACACTATATATATACTACACTTAGAAAATAAACCCCTAAAGTGTGATCTGTTATCAATTCCAAGATTGAACCAAAATAAAAAATATCTACAAGTAAAACTATTTTCCCCCCCAGTTCGGCTGTTTTAGTGTAAAATGTGAAATTCATTTTGAATACTGGATAATTCAGTGAATAACATTGTTCCATTTCTCCAAGTATGTCCTGGCAGTATATACACATATATCAAAGCTAAGGCAGTCCATCTAGTATGAAGAGTGGTGGTAGCTTCTCCTGTATAACCAAAAATATTTTCACTTGCCCTGAACATTCTATGTGTAGGTGGATATATATGTCGGTATAGGTGGATATATATATCAATATATGTTAAAAGTCATGGTATTCGTAATGCAGATTTAATGTATTTTGTACTATCCATTAAAAAGTTAAACAGGCATTCGTCCCCCATATTTAGATATATGTAACAGAGCATTGGGTTTGGATGTTTGGATTTAAAGAGATACTATAGTGCCAGGGATACACAGTTGTATTCCTGGCACTACCACCAGTGAATACATTTTTAGAGACTTTCGAAATCCTACTCTGTGGAAACAGATTATCAGTGGGCCCTAGGCTGTTAAGTAAACCAATTCATGGATCAGGACTGATAGATTATAGGGCACATCCACCAGATATGAAAATAAGTTTTAGGTTGCCCACATCCTTGAGCACGGGCACCCTGATTTATAACATACAGCAGGGCTCTACATATCACTTTAAAATAGTTTTGTAGATCTGAATGTTTTAATAGCTCAAATACACACATCTTTATACACACATTGTCTTTATGATATCGTACATTGATACTGAAATATCATGTGACAGTTTTCTCACATCTAATAAATAAAGAATTAAAATACAAAATAGTTTTGTATTATATATAGAAATGTAATGGAGATAGATTGTGCTTTTGGAGGTGGGGATTTAGTTCTAGGCAGTAAAAAGTTATATATATATATATAATGTGCTGTTTAGTGGAACTATTAGGATTACTAGCTAGACCTGGGGATTTAGTTCTAGGCAATGGGAATGATCAGGGCCAGATTAAGAGCCCAGTGGGCCTTTAGCTGACAATTATGATGGGCCTAATTACAGAATCTTATCGACCAAAAACGCTAAAACAGTCATACCTCCCAAGCGTCATGTATCTGATGGAGATGGTGTTGGAAGGAAACTCAAAGGATGCAGCTATAAGAAAACACATACTCTATGCTAACCTCTCTCTCTAATTTATGCTTTCATCTTTCAAGTAAATCCATACCCCCTAACAGCAGTGTCCAGTGAAGAAGTTAGTCAATGGGCAGGGTAAAGGGGTGTGCCACTGACGCGAATCACATGACCAGAAAGGTGAACATGCCCAAAAAGGGGGAATGTTTGCCCAAAGAATTGGAAGGCCAGCCTGGCATGAATGCATGTCAGGCTGCCTGCCAATCCTGCAGGCTGTCCAACTAAGGGCATACTATGCAGACAGCACCCTGAACTTGACATAAATGCATCAAATGATGCTCCTACTCCACGCTTTCTAAGGACTGTCCGCTAGCACTCACATGTCCACTTGTCTCCTTACCTTCTTACTAGCAGGCAGAAGTTCATGGTCTATAGTCTGGGACAGAGTAAAGGTGTATGTAGTGAGTGTAGTGTATGTAGTGAGTGTAGTGTATGTAATGAGTGTAGAAGAAAAGGGACATGCCACAGTGTTAGAGAAACCAAAGTCTGCATTACCTAAACTAATTTTATTGTCAGCCAGTCCACATAGGTTTTGTTGCTATACATCCCTCTTAAGCTTCCAAACTTAAAGGGACACTATAGTCACCAGAACAACTACAGCTTATTGTACTTGTTCTGGTAAGTAGAATAATTCCCTTCAGGCTTTTTGCAGTAAACACTGTCTTTTCAGAGAAAATAACTCCATTGGCCGCTCCTTAGATGGCTGCTAGAGGTGCTTTCTGGGTCTCCACCCTCTGCACGCAGACACTGAACTTTCCTCATAGAGATGCATTGATTCAATTTATCTTTATGAGGAGATGCTGATTGGCCAAGGCTATGTTTGACTTGTGCTGGCTCTGCCCCTGATCTGCCTAGTTGACAGTCCCAGCCAATCCTATGGGGAAGCATTGTAATTTGCTCAGACCACCACTTCTGATTATGTCCGCAGACAGAGTTAGTTCAGAGGCAGAGCCAGCAGCTGCAGACTTGAATACAAGTAATATTGCACTATATTTAGGGAGGCAAGAGAGGGCCAGGGGGGCTAGAAGGTGGTTTTTACATAATATGGTCAGAAATACATGATTGTTTTCCTGACCCTATAGTGTTCCTTTAAGCAAGAGTATGTAAAGAGTAGTTAGGGTTGCCAACTTTCTTGGAAAAAAATACCAGCCTTTGTATAATTAATTAGTTATGAGTGACATCACATGGTGTAAATCACAAGGAGTGACATAAGAGAAAATTCTGTAAAATCACCATCAAACTACTCACAGTTTGATTCTGCTGTATAGATGAATTGCTCCCAGTGTCTCCCTGTCTCCCAGTGTCTCAGTCTTGCAAGTCTCCCCATTTCTCCCAGTGTCCCCATGTCTCAGTATGTCCCCATGTATCTCAGTGTCAGTGTGCCCATAACACGCAGTCCCCTAGTCTCCCATGTCACTAGGATACTAGGGGACACAGTAATACATGGGGACACAGAGACCCGGGAACACTGGGAGACATGGGGGCACTGAGACACTTGGGGATACTGGGAGACATGGGGGCACTTGTGAATACAGACATGGGGACACTGGGAGACATAGGGACACTAAGAAACATGGGGACACTGGGAGACATGGGGACACTGACATTTGGGGACACTGGGAGATATGGGGACACAGAGACACTAGGGACACAGAGACATGGTGACACAGACACTGGGAGACATAGGGACACAAACATTTGGGGACACTAAGACACTCGGGACACTAAGGGACATGGGAACACAGACACTGGAAGACTAGGGGACACTGGGAGACTAGGAGACACTGGAAGACTAGGGGACACTGGGAGACTAGGGACACTGGCTGGAAGACAGACACTTGGAGACATGGGGACACTTGTGGACATAGACATGGGGACACAGACATTTGGGGACACTGGGAGACATAGGGACACAGACACTGGGAGACACGGGGACACTGAGGACACTGGCTGGGAGACATGGGGACACTGGAAGACATGGGGACTCTGAGAGACATGGGGACACAGACACTGGAAGACTAGGGGAAACTGGGAGCCATGTGGACACTCAGCCACTAGGGACACTGGCTGGGGGACATGGGGACACTGGGAGACATAGGACAGTGTCTCCGTGTCCCAATGTCTCAGTCTCTCCCAATGTCCCTATGTCTTACAGCGTCCCCATGTGTCTCAGCGTCCCCATGTGTCACAGTGTCCCCTAGTGTCTCAGTGTCCCTATGTTTTCCAGTGTCCCCAAGTATATCAGTGTCCCCTAGTGTCTGTGTCCCCATGTCTCCCTGCTGCCTTTCCCCCCATCCCTCACTTACCTGAGCTGTATAGCTGCTGTCTGGACTCTCTGTGCTGTGTAGCTGCTCCCCCGCGGATCAGTGAGTAGTAGAGAGAGGCAGGGATATGCTGTAACTTCGTATCCCTGCCTCTCTCCACACACACAGTGACCCCTACTGGCCGGTGCTGCTATTGCAGAGTAATCTCTGTTTATACTGAGAAAAATACCTGCATTTGTATTACTGCAATACCGGCACGGCCAGGCAGCCCTTAAATACCGGCTGTGCCAGTAAAATACCAGTCAGGTGGCAAACCTAAGAGTAGTGTGTTTTTTTTTTTAAATGGGCCTATTCCATGGGCCTGGGCCTGGGCCTGGGCCTGGAGCTGTAGCTCCATCAGCCCCTATGTTAATTCGGCCCTGGAAATAATGTATAGAACTTTTGGGAGCAGTATTGTCTTCACTCAAAGGTACTTCTTTTACTATTTTATAAAGTGGCAAACCTCATAATCGGCGTTTAAACCATAAGGAATCAAAGTTTTAAATTAAAGGACCACTCTAGGCACCCAGACCACTTCAGCTTAATGAAGTGGTCTGGGTGCCAGGTCCAGCTAGGGTTAACCCATTTTTTCATAAACATAGCAGTTTCAGAGAAACTGCTATGTTTATGAATGGGTTAAGCCTTCCCCTATTTCCTCTAGTGGCTGTCTCATTGACAGCCACTAGAGGCGCTTGCGTGCTTCTCACTGTGATTTTCACAGTGAGAGCACGCAAGCGTCCATAGGAAAGCATTGTAAATGCTTTCCTATGCGACGGGCTGAATGCGCGCGCAGCTCTTGCCGCGCGTGCGCATTCAGTCCAGGAGGAGGAGAAGAGGAGGAGAGGAAGCAGAGAGCTCCCCGCCCAGCGCTGGAAAAAGGTAAGTTTTTAACCCTTTCCCCTTTCCAGAGCCGGGCGGGAGGGGGACCCTGAGGGTGGGGGCACCCTCAGGGCACTATAGTGCCAGGAAAACGAATATGTTTTCCTGGCACTATAGTGGTCCTTTAAATATAAATTTCATCTCCTCTGTGCCCAATTTTTTCACATAATTTCCCACTCTCCAATCTTTTTTCACCTCTTTGATAGCACAAAAAAGTAGACCTTCAGGGTTCTGATTGAGCATTTGTTTAAAATGTAGAGAAACGCTGTGTGTTTCCACCTGTTTTTTAATGTTCCTAACATG